TCTTACCAGTTATGTACACATTGTCAAAGTACACACAAACATTTGGAATATCCTTAAAAATACTGTCCATGACAGCTTGGAAAATTCCAGGGCTAGATGATATGCCAAAACATAGTCTTTCATATTGGTAGAGTCCTTTATGTGTGTTTATTGTCGTATAGACTTTTGAATCTGGATGCAGTTCTAGTTGAGTGTAAGCATGACTAAAGTCTAATTCAGTGAATTTGTCTCCTCCTGCCAAATTCAAAGAAATTTCCTCAATGTTAGGTATAGGGTACCTATTTAGCTCTATTTGCTTATTCAGTGTAGTTTTATAATCTCCACAAATTCTTATAGAACCATCCTTCTTTAACACTGGCACAATGGGTGTCGCCCAATCGGAATAGTCTACCTTCTTTATAATGCCATTAGATTCCAATCTACTTAGCTCATTTTCAATTTTATTCCTCAATGCATAAGGTGGAACTCTAGCTTTGCAGTATCTTGGATTTGTATCTTTAATGCTTAACTTCACTGTTCTATCATTTAGTAATCCAGAGTTACCAAAAACACATTTATTTTCAGATATAACTTTATCTAGTGAAGTAAGACTAGATTCTTTTACATTCTTCAATGAACAAATACTCTCCCAATTTAACTTAAGATCACTTAACCAGTTCCTACCTAGTAATGGCGGTCCATTTCCTTCAACCACAAGAAGAGGAAGTTTAACACTTTGACCATTATAACTTACATGAACCATACACTCTCCTATTACCGGAACATTGTCACCAGTGTATGTTGTTAGACACTTGTGACACGGCTGTAGAGACACTGATCCTCCTGCGACAGCGTCAAAATCTTTCTTTGTTATGACTGTTAGAGATGCTCCAGTGTCAAGTTGGAAGCTGATGCTCTTACCGTTGATATTAACTGGTACATTGATGGGAGCATGACTTATTGATTTCACAGAGAATAGGTTGAAATCCGGCTGCGAATCAGTTTGAGCATTTTCACAGGTAGAGTGGTTCATTGGTTGGGTTAGGTAGTCTTGGTGAGAGTTAACATAGTGCTGCCTTTGGTTGCGGTACTGTCTTGACTGGCTAGATTTAGCAACAGACGAAGACTTTGCGAAGCAGGCCTTAGCAATGTGACCTTGCTTACCGCACTTATAACAAGTTGCAGATTTGAACTTGCACCGATGAGATGCATGGGGACCTTTGCATCGATGACATTTTTGATAATTATTACTAGATTTAGATCTAGGATTTGAACGAGCAGGCTGTTTAGCATAAGTTGGAATGCTCTGATGGGGTTGATGTTTATTGACTAACCTGCTGTTTACTGCATGGATCCCTGAAGGCGTAAGAGATTTCGCCGCATCTGATGACTGCTGGAATGAAGTTGCAAGTTGTATTGCTTTTTCTAATGTTAGATCTGACTCGAGCAGCAACTTTCTTTGAATATCAGGGCTGTTTACACCTGTCACAAACTTTTCACACAGTCTGTCAGACAGCGTTTCTCCAAATTCACAAAATTCACTTAAATGACGTAAAGCAGCAACATATTCTGATATCGACTCGTTTGGTTGACGAGTCCTACTGTCAAATCTAGCTCGACATAGAAACTTTGATGGGGTAGGCGCATGGTGGTCTGTTAGCAATTTGCTCAGCTCGTTAAAGCTCTTGGTAGTTAGACTAGCTGGTGTGCATAAGTCTTTTAGTAGCCTGAATTGTTGAGGCCCTATGACTGTTAACAAAACAGCTCTCTTTTTGGCTTCTATCGTCACGTCGTTAGCTTCTAGGTAAAAGCTTAACCTCTCTAGGTAATCTTGAATGATTTCATCATTCGCATCAAATTCTTTTATTTGGCCATACAGCGCCATAATTCTAGAAATAATTAGCTAATAAGCTCTAGCAAACCTCTTTTTTGCGTAAGTAGGTGCTCTTTCTAGTAGATGTTTATCCTCGTCGCCAGTTGAGGTAGATTATGAATACAACGGAGACAGAAGCCATGAGTATGTAAACAGCTTTAATTGTTAACCGGCCAGGACGGAAGTACAATGCACAAGGGACATCACTCAAGATAACAATATTATAAATATAACTAATACAGAAGAGTGAGTTCCCTTGACCTCACAATTATTTCAATCTATTACAGGTCCAAATTTTAATTAATTCATAAAAAATCAATTAGGCATCCAATTAAGTCAAATTTAGTTTCAGATTGCATTGTCTTCATGTCTTGACCCACGTGCCAACTGTGAATCGTGTCGGTCAAGTAGAACTGTCCGAATTTTCACTCCTGCGTTTCCGTCTAGACAGACAGACTGTCGACTGACGAGGAAGTGAGTTAAATAAAAGCTTGTAAAAAAAATTCATAAAAAAAAATTCATAAAAAACGTTTTAATAACAAGCTTTTATGTAATGATGCACTAAAAAGTAGAAAATAAATTATAGACTACTATTTAAATAACTATAAAGAAAAGCGTGGGTCACTTTAGTATCTATTGGATACCTTTACTAATGTTAAGGAAGACACCCACGCTTTTCTTTATAGTTATTTAAATAGTAGTCTATAATTTATTTTCTACTTTTTAGTGCATCATTACATAAAAGCTTGTTATTAAAACGTTTTTTATGAATTTTTTTTTCAGTACTTTACATGTTTTATCTACAATAGAGTTACATGACTAAAAACCATTGCGCGCCTACTGAATATCACGTTCAGTAGGCGCGCAATGGTTTTTGAACGCAGCCATTACGTGGTCGTGATGGCGCAGCTATTGATGACGCGTGTGGTGTGGTTGGCTAGACATGCCTACTAATTCGGTCCAAATTTTAATTAATTCATAAAAAATCAATTAGGCATCCAATTAAGTCAAATTTAGTTTCAGATTGCATTGTCTTCATGTCTTGACCCACGTGCCAACTGTGAATCGTGTCGGTCAAGTAGAACTGTCCGAATTTTCACTCCTGCGTTTCCGTCTAGACAGACAGACTGTCGACTGACGAGGAAGTGAGTTAAATAAAAGCTTGTAAAAAAAATTCATAAAAAAAAATTCATAAAAAACGTTTTAATAACAAGCTTTTATGTAATGATGCACTAAAAAGTAGAAAATAAATTATAGACTACTATTTAAATAACTATAAAGAAAAGCGTGGGTCACTTTAGTATCTATTGGATACCTTTACTAATGTTAAGGAAGACACCCACGCTTTTCTTTATAGTTATTTAAATAGTAGTCTATAATTTATTTTCTACTTTTTAGTGCATCATTACATAAAAGCTTGTTATTAAAACGTTTTTTATGAATTTTTTTTTCAGTACTTTACATGTTTTATCTACAATAGAGTTACATGACTAAAAACCATTGCGCGCCTACTGAATATCACGTTCAGTAGGCGCGCAATGGTTTTTGAACGCAGCCATTACGTGGTCGTGATGGCGCAGCTATTGATGACGCGTGTGGTGTGGTTGGCTAGACATGCCTACTAATTCGGTCCAAATTTTAATTAATTCATAAAAAATCAATTAGGCATCCAATTAAGTCAAATTTAGTTTCAGATTGCATTGTCTTCATGTCTTGACCCACGTGCCAACTGTGAATCGTGTCGGTCAAGTAGAACTGTCCGAATTTTCACTCCTGCGTTTCCGTCTAGACAGACAGACTGTCGACTGACGAGGAAGTGAGTTAAATAAAAGCTTGTAAAAAAAATTCATAAAAAAAAAATTCATAAAAAACGTTTTAATAACAAGCTTTTATGTAATGATGCACTAAAAAGTAGAAAATAAATTATAGACTACTATTTAAATAACTATAAAGAAAAGCGTGGGTCACTTTAGTATCTATTGGATACCTTTACTAATGTTAAGGAAGACACCCACGCTTTTCTTTATAGTTATTTAAATAGTAGTCTATAATTTATTTTCTTCTTTTTAGTGCATCATTACATAAAAGCTTGTTATTAAAACGTTTTTTATGAATTTTTTTTTCAGTACTTTACATGTTTTATTTACAATAGAGTTACATGACTAAAAACCATTGCGCGCCTACTGAACATCACGTTCAGTAGGCGCGCAATGGTTTTTGAACGCAGCCATTACGTGATGGCGCAGCTATTGAAGGTGATGACGCGTGTGGTGTGGTTGGCTAGACATGCCTACTAATTCGGTCCAAATTTTAATTAATTCATAAATAATTAATTAGGCATCCAATTAAGTCAAATTTAGTTTCGGATTGCATTGTCTTCATGTCTTGACCCACGTGCCAACTGTGAATCGTATCGGTCAAGTAGAACTGTCCGAATTTTCACTCCTGCGTTTCCATCTAGACAGACAGACTGTCGACAGAATGTCGACAGAGGAAGTGAGTTAAATAAAAGCTTGTAAAAAGTAAATTCTTTTCCACAAAATGCAATGGTTTTATAAAGGGAAGTAATTGTGTTTTCCTAATTTATCAAAGGGAAGTAAGTGCTATAGGACTAAATAAAGACATAATTAGAATTGTTGTAAAAGATGATATTTTTTTTAAACTTGTGTTTAATGAACATGCCGACAATTATTACTATAATTTGAAAAATGAAAATTATTTCCCAACACTTTCAATAGTAATTTTTTAACTCATAAATTTAGACAAATGCGCACGATAATTGTCTAACACTTAAATCCATCCAAGACCAACGACAAACATATGCATTTCATACAAAACTGAGCTTTATAATATTAGATTTGAGAAAGCTTAGGGGAGATCACTCCCGGTGTGTAAATATGTGTAGCTTTGTGAAAAGTTACAGATTTACAACATATTTGGCTGATGTAGAGACGGGACTTATTGACCGTTGTTTGGACTAACAGTTGAAACACGTTGACGTTACATGCTACTGTTTAGGTCCCACGCTAAATGTGGTTTCTGCTTCCAACAGTTGTCATTCACTTAATGTATAGTGTTTTCTTTTTTAAGATTCTTGTTTAAAAATTTGCTTGAAGTCTAAGTGTAATTAAGTGATTTTTTTTCACAGAACCAACGCCGACTTTACAGGCAAGCGCCCCTGCAGTGCAGCCTACAGTGAAGAATATTAATGTTTATAGACATATCGGCCGTAAATCGTAAGTAGTCCTGTGAGCCGTCTTTTATTTATTACAGTGAGCTGAGACATGTGACTATAGGGCTGGTAAGCAGAGTTTCTTTTTACCGCCCCCCCCCCCCCCGAACGAAATGAAATTTATGTAATTTATATAGAAAATATATACTTTTAACAGTGTCCGCCCCCCCCCCCCCCCGAAGAAAGTCTACCCCCCCCCCCCCGAAAATTTCAAGTGCCCCCCCGGAGAAAAAAAGTCTGGAAGAAACACTGCTGGTAAGTAGGTCACCAACCAGTTCTACGGCTCAATAAATCCTGCGTGAGCCATATAACTGGTTGGTGACCTACTTACCAGCCCTATAGCGTGCCCAGCCATTTTCTTCCACTTAAGATGAGCATTGTGTTCACTGTCGTAAGCCACAGCAGGCTATACAATCTACACGTGTCCTCGTGACCTTAACATATACAAAAGACATATCTGAAGGCTTACATTTAATTAGCGGAATATAACTGATTAATTACCTATTACATTAAAACCACCCGTGTAAAGAAGGCTGTGCAACAACATAATATTGTAAAATACGTTGAGTACATTTATCTTGGCACACGTTTGGTAGGTAAATGTTTAAAACGGGTTCAAGTAAGGTGCATTTCCCCTCCTCTAATTATGTGTCTGTTAAAATTACTGATAGACTCTATTTGTATTGTTTATTTGTTCAGGATAACTGATGGATTTGGAAAGCCAGAGTCAAAGAAGCAAAAAGGAAACACCATATATGAAAAGTATGATAACGATTTTAATATGCATTAACTAAAAATAGAGCTCATACTTAAAACTTATAGTTAAAACATAGTTAAAAGAAAAATATTTTTTCTAGTTAACATTGTAATCGTTAGCATCTAGACTTGTACGTAATTTGCTTTATGGTTTTACTAGATATAACGATATAATATTATCTTAAATAATAAAATATTTTCAATGAATAGATACAGTGCACGTAGATTAAGTCAACATGGTATGTTTTGTTGTGACATTTCAGTGTGACGTTCAAGATCAAAACGGTGCAGAATTTAGCAATGGACGGCGACATAGTGCACAACTACAGCAAGTCTAGGGACAAGAGGGCGCACAGCGACAGTGACGAGGACGATTAGCCGGATTTGTGTTAGCCATTTTGTTTTAGACATGTATCTTTGTCTTCTGTTTATAAAACGATCTGTACCCTTTTTAAATATCTCAAATTACTGATCTTTTTTTTTTACCATAGTTTTTTTTATGCTGTAAAATCACTGATATGGGTAAACTGGCCCCAAAGCTACTTGCACAATTGACCACCAACCCACCTGTACAACTGACGACCAACCCACCTGAACAACTGACCAGCAACCCACCTGACCACCAACCCACATGTACAACTGACCACCAACCCACATGTACACCTGACCACCAACCCACCTGAACAACTGACCACCAACCCACCTGTACAACAGACCACCAACCCACCTGTATAACTGACCACCAACCCACCTGTAAAAATTGACCACCAAACCACCTGTACAACTGACCACCAACCCACCTGTACAACTGACCACCAACCCACCTGTATAACTGAACACCAACCCACATGTACAACTGACCACCAACCCACCTGTACAATTGACCACCAACCCACCTGTACAACTGACCACCAACCCACCTGTACAGCTGACCACCAACCCACCTTACACCTGACCACCAACCCACATGTACAACTGACCACCAACCCACCAACCCACCTGTACAACTGACAACCAACCCACCTGTACAACTGACCACCAACCCACATGTACAACTGACCACCAACCCACCTGTACAACTGACCCCAACTACTTACACATTATTATTGTTTACGGCTTGAAGTCCGTTTTAATCATAAGATTAAAATTAAATCATATAATTCATAGACTGTCTTCCAGTGACGTAGAGAGGGTGGGGCGGGGGGTGTAGACCGCACCGGGTGACACCATTTAGGGGGTGACACCAAGACAAAAAAAATAGCATAGTATATAGAGAAAAATGATAATTCCACTTAATTAAGTGATTAATTCGAGTGTTAAAAGTCTTTTAAGAGCAAATTTACAAATCCCGACAAGGGTGGAGGTGGGTGCAAATCGAAAATTGAAAGTTTGTCCCCGGGCGCCGGGAAGGGTCGCTACGCCTCTGGGGGGGGGTGACATCATTAAGTGCCGCACCGGGTGACACCCGACCTCGCAACGCCACTGCAGTATTCTTAGGCATTACTTATTATGCCTACTACATTATGTGCTTTATACAGCTGTATTGGTTGATCGATTTATTTATTTTGTGTTTTTACATTCTTCTACTATTATACATACCACTACCTCTATTGTTATCTTATTCCTTATACTAATGCCTATTTTATCGCTATCCCTATCAGAAGCATCAGTTTCCTTATCTCTGCTTTTTTTTCGTCTCGATTCTATTTTATTTTTTTTTTAAATTAAGTTTTAAAAAAAATAATAAAAAACATTTCTATAGCCAAATTGCATTTATTGTTATCACCAACAAATAATCAGAGGCGTAGCGATCCATCCCGGCGCCCGGGGACGAACTTTCAATTTGGCGCCCCCGTCGGGAGCAAATTTTCGATTTGCACCCCCCCCCCCCCCAAACTGCAAAAATGCAGCTAAATTGACATTTTAATTTGTTTATACAACCCATTTTGGCGCCCCCAAAGGTCGGCGCCCGGAGACATATGTTCCCCCCCCCCCCCCCATCGCTACGCCTCTGCAAATAATACAACAAATCAAAATGTAAAACTTAAGGGCATGGGCGGATGATGAAAACCCAAATAACCAAAATGCATATTTCTAAACTTATTGCGATAATATTTAGCATATACTTGTTATGACTCAAAGAGTTAAGTCTAAACAAATAGGCAAAAAACGCCCTGCAGTTGCTATGGTTATAGTGGCCATCTTGGATTTTATTTACCTTTCTTACATCAAAATAACTCAAAGATGGCTAATGCAAATTTAATAAAAACTTGCAGGATTATAAAGATACATGTTGGTAACAATCGTGATAATAGATTACATTTTAAAATACTTTTGTTTTTACAATGTTTTTTCTGAAACTCACTTTTAAAAAATCAAAATTCGTGTGAAAAATACACAATTTTAATTGTAAAAGCATACAAATTCCCAAAAAATCGTTCTGTCAGTTTTGTTATTTAATGTAGAATATACAGAATATCTTCATCAATTTTAAGTATAATGAAGAAAGTTTTCGGCGATTTTTTTTATTTGTTGCATTTAATTCATTTATATCTGGAAAGGTGATAGATTTATGATAATTTATATTTATTCGGTTGATTGCCGAGTTAAATGAAATGATGAATTGATTGTTATGCTCTTATAGCTAAACTGATTGTTTAGTAAATGTTGACTGCTGTTTAATTAAATCTTGAGTTCATTGTTCATTTGGTTGATAAGTTAAATGTTGTGTTGAATGTTGAAATGGTTGTTGAGAAAAATACTTCAGGTTGAAGATGGCGATAAACGCTGTACCGATACTTGCTGCGCATGTCCAGGAAAATAAAAATGTTGACGGCAGAGTAGGCCTACAGTGGCCTACACCGGGAAAACGGCGGACCGTGTGGCTAAAAATAAGTTCTGTACTCGCCGCTGATGTTGAAAAATGTGTCAGTGTGGCCAGTGTTTCTTCCAGACTTTTTTCTCCGGGGGGGCACTTGAAATTTTCGGGGGGTGGGGGGCGGACACTTGTAAAAGTGTATGTTTACTATATAAAATCCATCTCGTTCGGGGGGGGGGGGGGGGGCGGAGTCGTCGTCCCCCCCCCTCCCCCGAAGAGATGCCTGGAAGAAACTATGAGTGTGGCTAAACAATTGGTTCCTGTACTTGCCGCTGATGTTGAAAAATTTGTCAGTGTGGCTAAAATTTCCGGGGGGGGGGGGGGCGGACATGGTTAAAAATATATATTCTCTATATACTTTCCATTTCGTTCAGGGACGGGGATGCCTGGAAGAAACTCTGCTCTCTACTATACTACTCACATGTAGCTATACAACAAAGTCAGATTCCGTCTTGTCGAATTAGAATAGGATGTAGTACAGAGGTCTTAAGTGACGTTGAGAGAGGGGTGCGTGTGAAATACTTTTGGTGTGTTGGGACTTAAATCAAAACACGTTTTGTAATGTTGAAAATAATCTCCGACGTTATAGAATATGAATTCCATTATTTAGTAAAACCAATAAAATAGTCAATTGCAAGCGTGCGGGGTAAAAGGTTTCCTTTCGATTTTGATAACATCTGAACATCATACGAATGGTTTATTTGATAAACCCTTAGAAATAGTTACAACAAATTACTAAACAGCTATTTATTTAAACATAAATTTTAAAGTCAGCCATTTGAAACATAGAATACAACAGATTTAGTGTAAATAAGGTTAATCTTTTTTCGATACAAAGTGTGAAAAAGCGACTATAATATTAATAATGCTGATGTTGCTGCTTTACAGCCATATGCTTCAACCTAATTGTCAAAACAATATGCTCCACATAATTTATTACATTCTGTCATTTCTAGTTGTAAGCAAATAGATCCAAGCTGAAGCATTAGTAAATATAATTCATGTTTAAGTAATACATTAAAATAATAACATGTGAAACAGTGAAGTAATATTGAAAAATACTGCTACTAATTTAATTTAATTAAAAGTTAAAATTCGAAATTATGTCGGAGTAGGAAGTTTTATTTTTTTACTTGCACAAGTGATAAAATGGAAGCGATGATTCACAGTGCAGTGAAAGTTTTCTGACAGCATATGAAACAGATTAAAAAATTAAAAAAGATGAAGATTAACAAAGGCTACTCACAGTTTGTTTTGAAAATACTGTTATAAAGCTATTCATTAGTTATAACTAAAAGTTCAGTATGGATAGGATTATAAGGATGTTTCCGTTAATGTTGACATTAACAACGACCACAATAAAATCAACAAACAGTCTTCATTTAACTGGAACTTGGAATAGTGACGATGCTTTTTTATTTTTAGCAAAATTTGGCTTTCAAAAAACAGATCCAAAAGAATTAGAAAATACTCAAGGGTTTATATATGGTAATATAACAAATACTACAGTCTTAACATCATCGAAAGAACTCACTCTAGTTGTTGTTGACAGTGAATATTTTCTTGAATTTTATGGCAACTCAACCAAATTCAGCTCAGCACAGACATGCTCTGCTATGTTCAGAAAAATTGATTCCATTGCTTTTGACTATATTTGTAAACCCAAAGGTGTACAGGATTTTCTTCGGAAAGTACCATGTCCAAGAAATAAATTTTGTGTAGATGAAGACAATCCATCAAATCTGGTCCCAGGTTATCAATTTACATATAAAGTTCGTGATGTACAGAGACCCAGGTAGGATCCTATATATTTTTTAATTTATAGCTTTCCAATTTAGCAATTGATTTCACTATTATATTTATCATTTACTAACACAATAATAAACTGTAAATTCCGTTTTTTTTTCTTCAGATTCTGGTACTTAAGTCTTGTATCATGTTATAGAGATTCAACATCAGAACGCAAGTGTGAATGGCAATCAAGCAAAGACTCAGGCATTATCCTACAGTATGATATCTGGCTGGTCAATGGAGATCCTTCTGTAAAAGGTTTAAATCCTTTTGAGCACCAGTTTTCTTTTGAACTTCATGATGTGTTTGAGATTCATCTTATTGCATTTACTTTTTGTGTCATAATATTTTTATTGTGGCTGTATGCTTTCAGCAGCCAGCGTCATATTGTTACTAAGCTGTTCACTGCTTGTATTTGTGGGGAATTATTAAGTATATCAATGAATCTGATACATGTGAGCATATTTGCATACAATGGTGTTGGAGCAGAGTGGCTAGGAAAAATAGGGACACTGGTTGACCTTGCTACTCAATGTCTGGTGATGTTATTGCTGATTCTACTGGCCAAAGGTTTAGGAATAACTACTGATCAGTTCAAGTGGAGGTCTTTTATCTTTACCTTGTGGGCTGCCTATACTCTGCTGAATGTCTTTCTTTACATCTGGAATTTGGTAAGCAATGTGTAGGATACACCATTAAAATATTTATCACATGCTGTAATTTATTTTTCCTTAGTAGTTGACTAATTGATGCACATTTTATAAAGTAAACATTTATTGCATTGTATGGTGTGGTGAATTTATTTAATTTTAGATTCTTTAATCCAGTTGTAAAAAAAATAGCAAATTCAAAGCCACTTGTAAAAGTTAATGTTGTAAGTCTTTTTGCTGTATATTGCTTATAACTTTTTGATTATTTTTAGGTGGAAATTGACAATATAATCTCCAACACTGATGAGTGGCAGACAGGTCCTGGGTATGCTACATTAGCATTCCGTGTATTAGTGATGTTTTGGTTCTTGTATGAGCTGCGGCAAACATTTGGACTCACAGACAGAGATGACATGTCATTTGTTATGCATTTTGGTGCTTTCTTCTTAGTATGGTTTATTTATTTGCCAACATTGGCATTAGTGACGTTAAAAGTTTCCCCACTGTGGAGATACAAAACAATTCTCAGTAAGTATTTTTATTTTACTTTAAAAATAGCTTTTGTGTAATAGAGATTACAAATAGCCCATAGGATAACAAATTCATTTGTTTAATTTTTACAGGTATTAATTATGCTGTGGAAATTTTAGCATATGCAGTGCTTGTACATTTGTTTTGGCCAGCTCGCTCAATTCTATTTATAGTTGAAGGTGAAAGGCCATTGCCCACTTATGACCTTGAAATTACCGGTAAGATTTCAAACATTACATTTTAGAACACAGTTTAAGTACATATAGAATATTCATAGCTTAGTGCAATGTCAGTTATCAACTTAAAGTCTCCACTTACAATTAATTTTCATTTAAAAAAAATTTCAGGCCTGTTAGATGATGATGTGCAAGAGTCCACTGAATTACCTAACCAAGGATTTGAGATGAGAGAGTTACCATCACCACCAAGAACTGTTCAAAATAGTCCATCCTTAGGTCTAACTAGACAAATGAATTTGAAAAAATCTTCATCCAAAACAAGCATTGGTAGAGTGTCTTCAAACGGACATTTGTATGTACATAAAGATAAAAAGAAATCAGATGAGGATGAGACAGATGATAAAGAGTTGTGACAACACTAACTTGTTTGTTGGAAGATAGTGATCATGATCCAGTGACAATTTGTTTTGTTTTCTGTTAGTAAACATTTGTTTATTTATAACATTGATTTTTTTTAAATTTTGTTTTACTGATGATGTATAAATAGTTTTGGCCTGTTCAGATGGGCATATGTTTATTTCTGTCTTTGAAAGCAAGTATGATGTGCTTCCTGTTTGATCTGTAGGCTAAAGGCTCTAAACATTCTCATACTTTTTCCCTAGAAGATAAATAAGTGTTTATTATTTTTAGCTAAATTTATTCTATTTAAAAAATATATTTTATGATCTTGTTAATTGATAATCAGCCGTGGGACTACTAAGGTTTATCATTTTAGAACTAGTCGATTTCTCAGTTTTAAAGTATGTGTCACACAACCTAATGTTGAACAGTTATTTTGTGAAATGTCATGGGGTCCAGAAGTTTAAACGTTTTTGGTCAGTTTCTGAGATGTTAACATGATAATGTTGAAAAACTTTCTTGCCTCTTAGCATTCATCAAAATTTCTTGATTACTTGCTCAATTGATTGGATGCTTGAATTCTTCTTGTAATGTGCGATTTAAAAACGTTTTGCAGCCATTCTTAAATTATCTCCCAATTTAAATACTTGCTGTGTGTGCATTTTAATTTACTGCAAATAATAGTGTTCAGCTCATCAAACATGTGATTTTCATATTTTAATATCTAAAACTAAAATCGAGGATTGAATTGGCTTTCATTTTCAATTAATGCATTTGAATGGGATTAAATGAATTATAAAAGATTGATAACATAAAGCAGAATGAATGAAAGATCCCAATTGAAATGAACAGAAATGTGTTGTGTTTGTGCGAAAAGTTTCATCTTTCACCCACCTGTGGTTACTATGTTATACCATTTCATTAAGTTGTGAAAGAACTGAAATCAAATGGGCACTTTAAAGCATGAGGGTGCAATTATATAGTAGAGGTCAAGATGACTTACTCCTAATTTTTGAGGTATGTTTACATGCATTAGTCCCTGAATCCTCCCAGATCTAATAGGTACCTGACCCAAGTTGGGAAAGATAGCTTGATACAATTATGGCCACATTATCTCTGTAATGGCTGAGGTAATTGAAAAAGATGAGCTTTTCTATATCTGCCCCATGGACCTGACGTTCAGGAACTTTAAGATGATAACTATAGTAAAATTACCAGTACTTTATGTAGATTGAATACATTTGATGATTTTTTTTGGTTGTGTCAATTTTTATTTAACACCCAACATTCCTCTCTACATTTCCAATACTTACTATTTGACTGAATACTTTTGACTGAACCACTGTGATTTGTACATAAAAACAGGTAACAACAAATTTTGAATTTTTATGAAAATCTATTAATTTTATTTGTATGCTAATAAATGCAAATGGTTTATGCAATAATTCTTTCCAAGTATTTGTACTCAAGTCTGTTTTTACCAAAAAATGTGAATGATTCTCATATTGGTTACTTAAAAAACAAAACTTTACTTAGCATTCATTATCATTGCATTAAATAAAAGTAGAGCTCTCTAGGCCAGATTTTTAAAATGTTTACTAGTTCTTTATTCTATTTGATTATTTTTTTCATTAAGTATTTCTAATTATTTATTTTTTTCTATTTATATTTTTGCATAATTATATTGAATATTAGAAAATAGGGCAATTATAATTAAAATCTTAATGACATAAATGTCCATCAGCAAAAGGTATTTAATGTTACTAATGTATTATGGTGAGTATATGACTATAGGTGGATCCATAAGAAATACAAATACACAGAGGGTCAGAAGATACACAGACATTTTAAAATGTTTCTCACCAAACCTATAAAAGTTGTTGTAGCAATAGAATGGTTTGTTATAAAAACACTTATTTCTTTATATAAGCAATTTTTATTGTTTTCAATTGTTGAAAATGTTTGTATCTAAATAATTGTATGTGTGAATCATCTAGCAGCAAAGTTTTTTTTTCAGTAACTGTTGTTTGAATTATAATTTTGTTTATACACTAAGATTTAAAAAAAAATACCATTGACCTTTGTTACTTCATTACCACTTAAAAAGTATCTTTTTTTAGATGCATATTAACTGCAACTAAAAGATTAGTACTGCAACATTCTTTAAAGATTTGTTAGTTTTAAAAAACCACTTTTACTTTACTTAGAGGGACCTCATTGTAACAGTGCTACATAGTATACTTACTAAAAAGATACTAGTTTTAGTTGCAAGTTTTCTCTGTATTAATTTTTTAATATACCCTAAACATGTTTAGCTTTTATATGCTATGTGGATTAACATATTATTGGTACTGTATTATTACTATATGTGGGTGTTATAAGCTGAAGGTAATCAGAATCTATTGTGCATTTCTTGTGATATTTATCCCACACATTCTGCATCTTGCACTCTTTGCTTACACCTACTGGTTGACTGGACACTTTGCACTCTTTAAGGACGTATTTATTTTCTCAAGACCTTTCTACATTTGATACCTTGAACCATATTCTACCATAAAAACAACTGTAGCTAAATAATAATTATCAGCATTGCCGTTTAAAATTTGTTATTGATCATTCATAAGTACAAACTAAATACTCAATTTGGGTACATCTAAAGTCTACATAACTATAATTAAAAAGTGGCCGATAGTTAACACATTGTCACAGATTTGAGACATTTTATGAGATATAGTCTGCAGACCACACATACAAATGAATTGTTTTCTTTGTTCCCTTCTTCCAAATAGTTGAATGTTGTGATTGATTTGATTGCTTCATTTAATGCAATAAATGGTTCTGTTTCAGGGACTAGTTTCTCTCATTACATCATTTATGTGCTCATTGTTCATTGCTAAGAACAAATTAAAGAAATATACTTATAAGTTTGGTTTGAATTCATTTCATCTTTGCTTTCTACTAATTTTCAATAGTAAATACTAAAATCAAACGTCTTCAATAGTCTAAGTCTAAGAATTAAAAAAAATAAACTTGATTCTGATAGCATAAATTATTTTATTTAAAAATTCAAATGTATGACAATTAACTTTTTACAATATTAAATTAATATTATATTAATATTGAGAGATGAAAGATTTACAGGACAAGGTAAGTCCTATTGTGTCACTGACAATCATGAGTAAAGTCTTTCCAACACAAGGCAATTCCTCTCACAATGCTTTATTCAGAACAAATATTGTTTTTATGCTTGTTCATTGCAAATAAGCATTAAAATAATTTTAATCATAAAAATCATATTTGAACAATTCTGAAATAAATAATTTGCTACATGTATAATTTTACCTATCAAGTAGAACAGTTTCTATCATCTCTTGTCTAAAAGAGATATTTATCCTAATCTTTCTTTTTGTGTTTTTTACTGTGCTTCTTCTTGTGTTTACTTTTCCTGTGTTTGCTTTTCTTCCTACTGCTGGCATCACTGTCAGAGGCTGAGTCTTTCGTCCTCAACTCATCTTCATTCGGATCTTCTTGCCTGCTGTTGTCTGTACAATCCTCGCCTTGTTCCACTTTAATTGACGGCTCTCCCTCTGCAGGTTTGTCTACCTTTACATTCATATCTTTGTCATGACGTCTGTCTTTAGATTTTATTGGGCTGGAACTTCGATCTCTGTACCTCTCCCTTGATCTCTTTCGACCTTTTCTGTATTTCTCATCTTCACTCCGATCTCTGCTTCTTTTTCTAAATTTCTCATCTACACTGTGATCTCTGCTTCTGTTTCTTGACTTGTCTACACTTCTATCTCTACTTCTGTTTCTAGACCTATCATTATCCCTCCTCCTGTGTGAACCTTGTGGACTGTATTCTCTCCTCCTGTCTCTCTCCTCTCTAGTTCTACTTTTGTATTTGCTCTCTTGACTAGCATCATCCAGGTCTTCACCAGCTGCCTTCACATTACGGTCAGGAACTAAAATCTCCATTTGGTTTGAGATCACTTCTCTTATTATCTGAAAATTGATTGGAATTTGGTTTAATGTAACCTTGAAATATCTGAACCTTGCTGACTTTGGTTATAGTTTTTAGAAAATCAATCAACCTTAAGAATATGACAGAAAACCTGATTTCTAAACCAAACATCATTTATTTGCCTAATGAAGCTGAAATCTGTCTTATGGTCAAGATTTTATCAATGGCAAATGTAAAAATGTTTAGCCTTTTATATTTGACCAAATATTTTTCACATCTTAAACTGTCAGACAGACAACAGGGGAGATGAAGTAGATTTCACTTATTTTAATAGGAAGGAGATGTTATTTGAAAAAAGAAGTATGTTATTATAGCTATACCTCTGTATAAGACTTTTTAGTGATATGAACATTTTTAGCTCTGTAACTCTGCCGCCTCCTTTTAAGGTCCCTCAGTGCTGCCAGTTGCTCAAGTTTTGAAGAAAATTGTTTGTTGTTCTGCTCATCCAACAGTCCTGTGGAAATGAAAGGACAAAAGTTGAACCAATTCTAATGAGAATAGAATTACTAGCAGCAGTGAATAACTAAATTGTAAATTACCTTTCTTAACAAGACTACCCCAATCTGTGGTAAGTAGCTCATCATTGCGATCAACAGGGATGACCTTGCCTGCATCATGGGATGTTTTGACCACGTATTGATAAACAGCCACTCTGTCTTCTTGTGTAAGCAGAATGTTTTCATCAATATAACTGGCAGGCATTTTTTTGGGACCAGTATAAACTGTTGAACAACAATTACATGTCTCTAAAATAACATTAAAAGATCAAACACTGAGCCAAAGTAAAGAGGAAATAATATTAACAACAAAACTTCTCAACAATATGTTAAAAACGAGTACCGATATTTTTAAAACATTGATTTTTTAATCAAATTTTAAAAAGTCCAAATGTGCTAGTTAAGCTGTTGAGTTTTGAAATGTACTCCAAGTTCATGAGTAATACTGATGGACAGTACTAAGAAAATACATACAATGTATCCAACCAGAAATAAAACTTTTAACTACATTCTTCACAACAGACTTCAGTTTAAAATTAATCTAAATTAGTTTCAAGTGAAAATGTTAATAGGAAAAGACATCAATGTTTTTAAAGAAGGTGTTTACCTCTTCCATTCTGTATGCAATGATCCCAAGTAATTTTGTTTAGGTTATTTTCATCTGTAGAAAGAAAGTCAAATGTATCCTTAAAAATATAAACAAATGTAACATTGTGGGAATAATGGGCACCATTTGGACATAGCTTTTATAAAACAGAGGGTTTAGTTTCTATAGAAGATTAGTTTCTATAGCTTGTGAAGCTCTTGACATAATTATTTGTATAGCTAAACAAACTGTCCAAAGTGATAAATTGATTTATATGGGTGTTAAGTAAATATAGATTCTATCTTACTCTTACCTATGATTATTTTCATAATTGAAGGAGCATTTTCATAAAAAAAGTCTGCATCTTGGAGAAGAGATGGCTATAAAAAAACAAGAATTCAAATTTATTCAAATTTATTCAAATTTATTCAAACAACGGTTACAATTGTAGGCACAAAGGCCTTTTTTCACATTGGCCGTTTAAACAAATAAAGCAATTCAATAACACATAGCAGTAACACATAGCACTGAAAATGTGGAATAAAGAAACAATGGTACATAGCTATCATACATAATGAGATAAAAAAGAGAATATAATAGATGAATGAGAAATGTTACAATGAGTCAGTTAGGTCATTAAATAATTTTAGTTTTAATTTAGATTTGAATATATTTTCAGATCTAGATAGCTTTATTTTATTAGGAAGATTGTTCCACAAATTAGAACCAGAGTAGGCGAAGCTATGTTTTTGGAAAAAGGTTGAATAAGGGAATGGTAAATTGAGACGACGATTTAATTTTATGTTAAAAGAAAATAGATCTGATAAGTAAGAGGGGGCTGTTTTGTGGAATATTTTATATAAGAAAATTGATTTAGTATATATTATCTTTTTATTTAATGGAAGTATTTTAGTTGTAAGAAAAGAATCCATACTACTAGACAAGCCAGTAACCAGTTTTATAGCCCTTTTTTGTAAAGAAAGAAGAGGACGCTGCTTAGATTTAAAGCTGCCGCTCCACACTACAGAAGCATAATCCAACCTGGATTGAATAAAAGCCTCATAAAAAACCAGCCTGCTCCTATAGTTGAGAAAGTTCTTTATCCTTGCTAACTGAAAGGTTGTCTTTAATAAGGACATTCTTAGAAAATGAATATGGTCAGACCAAGTGAGGTTGTGATCTATAAACAATCCTAGGCATTTGTAACTGTCTACCTGTTCAATGTTTGAATTGTCTATAGTAATGTTTAATGCGGTGGATGGAAGACGAAGGCGTTTCTGATGAGTTGTAATAAACATTGACTTGGTTTTATCGGGGTGAAGTTTCATTTTGTTAAATTTTGTCCAAGTTGCAAGCTGATTGGCACATGTTTGAAGTTTGTAACTGAGTGACTCAGCACTGTCTGCAAAGACATGCAAGGAAGTATCATCAGCGAACATCTCGCACTGACCAGCGTCAATATGTAATGGAAGATCATTAATGTATAAAGAAAAAAGTAAAGGACCTAAGATTGAGCCCTGTGGAACCCCTATATTAACATATTTCTGTGAAGAGATGGTATTAAGGTGAAACACGCGTTGAGATCGGTTAGATAAAAAGGAGTGAAGTAACCTAACTGTAAAGTCGTGGAATTTGTATGGAATTAGTTTTTTAAGAAGTATGGTGTGATCAATAGAATCAAAGGCTTTTCTGAAATCGACAAACAGCGAGCCACAGAGCAGGTTTTTGTTAATATTTATAAGCCAGTTTTCATTCATCTTAATCAGAGCAGTGTGACAAGAATGAAACTTTCTAAACCCAGACTGATTACTATGGAAAAGCTTGAACTTTTCTAGGTAATATGAAATGCATTTGTTTATATGTATTTCTAGTGGCTTGGAGAGGGAAGAAAGTATAGAAATTGGCCTGTAGTTATTAGCATCTTGGATGTTACCTTTTTTGTGTAGTGGTATAACCTTAGCATGCTTAAAATGTGTCGGGTAATAATGCTTGGCAATACAGAGGTTATAGACATAGGTTAAAACTTCGGAAATTATTGGAGCTGAAATCTTCAATACATTATTAGAAATATCATCAAACGAAGTTGTTGAAGACGGTTTAAGAGATCTTAGGCTAACATAAACTTCATGAACAGTGAGAAGCGGAATGATCAGCTCTGTCCTACCACGGTGAGCAGAATTACAAAAATTTTTAAGCTCCTCACTGATTGTGTAATCAGCATCTGTGTTGAGCGCTACAGATGATATAAAATGATTGTTAAAGTCATCAGCAGATATCTGGCAATGTCCAGCTGTATTACATGTGCGTTTTTTTCTAATTATTTGATTTATAGCAGTCCAGATATTCATTGCAATTAAATAGCTAAAAAAAAGTAATTAAGAGTTTTTATTTGTAAATCAGGATTATTATTAATTTTTTCTTAACTTTTCTAGGAAGGGACTGCGGATAAATAATTTGACCCAAAATACTGATAAAGAATTAATAATTTTAATACGCTTTTAAATTTAAGGACAAACATTTCTTTATACTAAAATGATATTGTATTTAATGATATTGTATAAAAATGGTGTCTACTTACAAGTTCATCTTCTTGATAACCAGCAGATAGCAACTGGCACTTTAGTGAATGGTTGTGTAAGTTCTTTCCAGGCATTATGTGATCTTTGTTGTACTGACATTGTGTTTTTGCTTCTGTCTGTTAGCAGTTTCAGGGAAATTGAATAATTAACATTAAGAAAAATAACAATCAGATTAACAAAACTTTTCAACCACTGTTTGCGTTCCCTTAACAGTTATTTTTATAATTTGAATTTGAACTTGTGTATGTATGTGTGTGTGTGCATGTGTGTGTAGAAGGAGGTGGAAATGAACACGTTTTTTAGACTTGTGTAACATAAAGATAATTAAGTGACTCATATTTAATTTAGGATGGTTTTTCTTATACCACCATTAGTGATTGATAATAAAAAGATAATGACATATTTATGTGCCTATAAATGACTAATGAAAAGAAAAATTCGGACTTTGACCAGTTGTCTTTAGCCAGATGATCTTCTAATTCGGACTGGCCGGTCCACCTTGGCCGGTCCACCATGGCCAGTCCGTGTATTGGCCGGCCAAAGGCCGAAATGAAGTAAAGTTTCGGACTTTGGCCGGTCAATGGGAGGCGATATTGGCCAATGCGTGCTTTGGCCGACTTCGGGCTTTGACCGTAACATATATTTATATTTTACTTTATACAGACTTATAGGCCTACTTATATAATATAAATATTGCAATACTAAATAATATCAGTAGCAGTAGCCTCAAGAAATTACCTTTAATAATTCTTCTGTTGTCAAGTTTAGCTGCTCCAACACTTTATTAAAATTAATTCTTTCCGCTTCGAGAAATTTTTTTGCAGAATCCACAAACTCTTGTCTTCTTTTGATCTCATCTTCATCCATTTTTTAAAATACTCACTAGCTAGACAGAGTAGAGGACTAGACTAGAACCGGAGTTTATTTTTATTTATAATGAAATAGGCCTAGGTCTAGATAAATATATTTACTAACTTATTCCAGATTAAGTCATTCTAATCTAAGAAGACCGTAACTTTCGCTTTGGTGTTGTTTTTTTTCCACCTCAAAACTTCGTTGATAATTTTTAGCAACTCATTAAATGGTGGATAAATTAAAAAGCTTAACCAAGTTACGTTCCGTTAGATTTTGGTAAACAAAATACTGTCATTTAGAAGGTGAGTCACAAGATTTGTAATTTAATTACCTATTTATTACCTCCCTATTATTTAGATTCTATTTTGAATGAATGGATTATTCGATTAGTAGCCACTTCTAGTCTAGATCTAGATCTTCTAGAATATAATCATCTAGGGGGTAGACCCTAGCTAGAATTAATTAAGAATACTCTAGAATTTAGAATCTAGATTACTCTAAGATTACAATGACTAAGATACTAACTAATAGATAGACTAGATAGTAATAGTTTATTAATAGGCCCTAAGGTAAAATCACGATATAGCGTCGGAAATTATTGGGTAATGTTCGTTGAGTTTCGGTAACATTCGTTACTGTAAACCATAGTTTATTTGACCGGTGAAATAAAAATAAAGTCAAGTGCATTAAATTAATGTTTTAACTTAATTTACAGTTTAATTGACAGAAAATTAATAACAGATAGAAAATCTAAATATTATTAATAAAGTCGAGTGTAGTAGTTAATGTTTTTTTTTTAAGAAACAGAAAAAACCTGCAGAAGATTTGCTACAACCAGCTCTAGTTCTATTAGTATTAGATCTAGTAGATAAGACGATTAGATTAACTAAAGTTAAAAGTAGTAAGAATAACTAGAATAATGTTTAGTAGCAGCAATAATTAGCACGTACACTTAAAATAATTAGAAATACAAAATAATTAGCAAAACAGTATTTAAAATGCAACTAAAATCAATCCTTGCACATTTTTAAACATTATGTATTAAAAATAATATGGCGTCAAATAAATGATGGTTTACAGTATTTCCGGTGGTTTCCGGAACGGCTCGACAGACTACGCCATGGTTTTACTGTTTTTTACTGCTGTACAGTTCCGGAATAATAACCGACGCTATATCGTGATTTTACCGGCCCTAATATTTAATAATAAATAATTAATAGTATAGGCCTAACAAAATGGCCTAAAGGCCTAAATTAATAAAATAATTCACGGTAAGGTAAAACTCCATTTTACTTTGTATTTTATTCCCCACTTCATCTTCACCTCCAGTTGAGTGTATTTTATTATAAACACAACCAAAACACACAAAAAATGTTACCTCACGGTAATCTATCGATTTTTTAGAATTTACAGGTTCGTAAAATCGACAGAGGCTTTTTTTAGGGTAATCTAGGCCGTTAGGTATGGAAAATCTGCCGCGGCTAGTAATGTACGAAAAAGTTACCTCATTTTCAAGGCTTTAATAACTTTAATAGGCCTATATTTAACTATTATATTTGTGTAAAATATTATAGATAACTGAATAATAAACCAAAATCAATGGCTAAATATATCAATATAGGCCAGAAATTAACTTTAAACAGCAGTGTTTGCGAGCAAGATTTGCTATATAAACAGCAGCCATTTGTAAAATAGAGTGGCTTCCCCTGAATCTCCCGCTATAAGTTTACCAAAAAAAAACCCAAACAAGATGGCTGCTATAGTAAATGAGCATGGTTGCATCTCATGAAAGCATTGCTAGTCTTCATTTATTACTGAAAAGTTTTAATTCAATTGTTTAAAAACAGGTACATAAATGAAACTTTGAAACATTTTTGTAAATTTCAAAACATAAATCCTCCTAAAAATGTGAAATAATTATTAAAATTTAAGAAGTCACCTGTTTTTCACATTACTAGTCGCTGGTGATTTTACATACCTAAAGCAATAGATTACCTTTTTTAATAATGACAATATGATAAAAAGGTGACTTATTATTATGGCTTTAATACAAGTAAGTAGTTAGTTTTAAGCCTATTGTAATATATTTGTGTCAAATATAATAGATAATTGAAAATAAACCAAAACTAATGTCTAAATAAAATAATAAATTATTAAATAATAGTCCCTATATCTCAAGAAATTAACTTAAAACAGCAGTGTTTGCAAGCAAATTTTGCTATAAAAGCATCTGTAAATAAGAGTGGTTTCCCCTGAATCTCTAACAAGTAGTTAACAAAAAATTACCTAAAGATGGCTGCTAAAAAACGAGCTTGGTTGCATCTGATAAAAACACATCTAAACTTTATTAAATATTTATTACTGAAAATTTTGAATAAAATTGTTTAAAAACAGGTACATGAACTGTTTTTGTAACTTTTAAAACATAAATCCTCCTAAAAATAATAAATAATTACTGAAATGGAATGAGTCACCCTTCAACATTTCTCATTAATGTCATCATTACTGTACTTTTCATTACTGGATCTATTACATCTGAACAACCCACTGTGTATAAAAAATTAAATTATACTTAATCGTCTTAACATTATTTTACTGGCTACCTTTACCAACCTTATACTAATACATATACTATACATACATTGTTACTTGTCCAGAATAAAATTCTCATCAAGTAAGTATATATGTTCTCTGGGAAAAAGTTTTCATATAAAATTTATTTTTTATGAGTTTTGATCTTCAAGTCCTAAATGGCAACTTTAGTTTTTACTAGCTATCAGTTAAATAATAAGACACTTTAATTAAAACATAGTTCACTAACACTAACAGAACAAAAGTATTTTGAGAAATTCTATAAATGGTTCATAATTATGTAAGTAAGGTTAGCCTGTCTCCCTTTTCCTGGGACATACATGAGCAACAACAGCTTTCCTACAGGCATATCTGTTCTGGGCTAGTTTCTCCAACTGTCCCCAGGTGTATCCAATCTACTTGGTGTCTTCTTCTGGGTCATGTCTCCAGGTCTTCCTTGGTCTGCCTCTTTTCTTTTAGCCCTGTGGATTTGAGTGTCGTGCTATGCTGGATAATAACTTCCAGGGTGTGTGACCTGTTCTTCTGTATTTTTCTCTGGAGGATCTCTTCTTCCGCTGCCAGTTGCTTTGTCATCTGCCATAGTGACTCATTTCTGGTGGTGTTTGGCTAGAGGATTAGAAGGATCTTTCTCAGTTAATAAATGACAGTATTTTCTTCTTATTGGTTCATAATTAGACCTAGAATAAAATCTGTCAGCGATTTTGTACACACACATCTAAAGTTCCAGGATATGTTATTTGTTTGTGCTCCTTATGTATGTGTGTCTCTCATATAAGTGAATGTAACTGATGTGTTTTTATTTTGAGAAAGTTCTGTATATATTGTATGCATCTATTTTGCTCAGATGACAAACCCACACATTAAAACCAGCATTAGAAACTCAATGTATTACAGTAGTGTCATGCCAGAAATTAGAAAAACATTTATTAATTAGGGTGGTTCCTTAAACAGTACATCACCCACATTTTAAAAGTACCTCACAAGATGTCTTTGTTTATACTGCCTACCAAAGGCGTAGCGAGGGGGGGGGGGCATATGTACCCGGGCGCCGACCTTGGGGGGGGGGGGGGGGGGCGCCAAATTGACAGTTTGAGGGGGGTGCAAATGAAAAGTTCGAGGGGGGGGGGTGCAAATCGAAAGTTTGTCCACGGGCGCCGGGTAGGGTCGCTACGCCTCTGCTGCCTACCATCTGTAGTGAGAGCATTTATTGAGCCACTAGAGCAGGATGCTAGACAGACATGGTCTGTGCTGTCACAGTTGTATGTAAACTTATTGGTCTGGTAAGTGGAGTCTTGGCTGATAATCACAAGGGAAATATAATTATACAGGGGGAATTAGATCAGCAAAATGGCGTGTAAGGTTGTCTGAGATGCTGCTTAAAGGGTGGGGGTAGGAGGGCTGGGAGTAGTTAACTCAATTCTGTAGCCCCGGGGAGAGGTTGGTGGGGGGGGGGGGGTTCTCATAGCAGGGAGGCGATGTCGTCTGGTGATATGTGGAGGGGAGGATTCTATGTTTATGTTGGGAGACAAAAAGATTTGTTAGAAGGGAGGTGGGGATAGTGACGTGGGTTCAGGAGGGAGGTGGGGATGGTGACGTGGGTTAAGGAGGGAGGTGACGTGGGTTAAGGAGGGAGGTGAGGGTAGCGACGTGGGTTGAGGAGGGAGTGAGGGTGGTGACGTGGGTTAAGGAGGGAGGTGAGGATGGTGACGTGGGTTAAGGAGGGAGGTGAGGATGGTGACGTGGGTTAAGGAGGGAGGTGACGTGGGTTAAGGAGGGAGGTGAGGGTAGCGACGTGGGTTAAGGAGGGAGTGAGGATGGTGACGTGGGTTAAGGAGGGAGTGGGGATGGTGACGTGGGTTAAGAAGGGAGGTGACGTGGGTTAAGGAGGGAGGTGAGGGTAGCGACGTGGGTTGAGGAGGGAGTGAGGGTGGTGACGTGGGTTAAGGAGGGAGGTGAGGATGGTGACGTGGGTTAAGGAGGGAGGTGAGGATGGTGACGTGGGTTAAGGAGGGAGGTGACGGGTTAAGGAGGGAGGTGAGGGTAGCGACGTGGGTTAAGGAGGGAGTGAGGATGGTGACGTGGGTTAAGGAGGGAGTGGGGATGGTGACGTGGGTTAAGGAGGGAGGTGAGGATAGTGACGTGGGTTCAGGAGGGAGGTGAGGATGGTGACGTGGGTTACGGAGGGAGTGAGGATGGTGACGTGGGTTAAGGAGGGATTGAGGATGGTGACGTGGGTTAAGGAGGGAGGTGACGTGGGTTAAGGAGGGAGTGAGGATGGTGACGTGGGTTAAGGAGGGAGGTGACGTGGGTTAAGGAGGGAGTGAGGATGGTGACGTGGGTTAAGGAGGGAGTGGGGATGGTGACGTGGGTTAAGGAGGGAGGTGACGTGGGTTAAGGAGGGAGTGAGGATGGTGACGTGGGTTAAGGAGGGAGTGGGGATGGTCACGTGGGTTAAGGAGGGAGTGAGGATGGTGACGTGGGTTAAGGAGGGAGGTGGGGATGGTGACGTGGGTAAAGGAGGGAGGTGAGGATGGTGACATGGGTAAAGGAGGGAGGTGAGGATGGTGACGTGGGTAAAGGAGGATGGTGACGTGGGTTAAGGAGGGAGGTGACGTGGGTTAAGGAGGGAGGTGAAGATCTAATAATTAGGAGGTAGGGGTGTGTGATACCACACTAAAGTACCATCCTACGTCGATTAAGCTGGGGTGGTAACATCCAGCATCCATTGTTCTGTCAAGCCGTAAATATTGCCAAGGTTAGGCCTGGTGTTAGAGCTAAGCTTAGGGCAGCGATGCTTAAAATAATTAACTGTAAAAACAAGTCCTGGCGACTAATTAAAAAGTTCATTACCCAGGTAATGTTCAGGTATGTGATAAACTTGGTGGGTGGGGGTGCTCGATTAGGTCGGGTATGTGATAAAGTTGTTGGGTGGGGGTGCTCGATTAGGTCGGGTATGTGATAAAGTTGTTGGGTGGGGGTGCTCGATTAGGTCGGGTATGTGATAAAGTTGTTGGGTGGGGGTGCTCGATTAGGTCGGGTATGTGATAAAGTTGTTGGGTGGGGGTGCTCGATTAGGTATGTGATAAAGTTGTTGGGTGGGGGTGCTCGATTAGGTATGTGATAAAGTTGTTGGGTGGGGGTGCTCGATTAGGTCGGGTATGTGATAAAGTTGTTGGGTGGGGGTGCTCGATTAGGTCGGGTATGTGATAAAGTTGTTGGGTGGGGGTGCTCGATTAGGTCGGGTATGTGATAAAGTTGTTGGAGGGGAGGAAGGGGACAACTCTTACTTTAAGCGAAGATTGTTCTTTGTTTAAGTTGGGACTTACAATTTGTAGCAGTTGCACTGTGTCAGTCAAGATACCGTCTACACTATACAGCTGCATTTATATCGTGTAGAAGCAACAAAAATATTGTGTACATTGCAACTTGAGAAACTTGTATTAACCAGCTCCCAAAATAGAACACAGCGAACGCACAGACTGAACTACAGATGAACTCTATGAATATTCCAACCCTTACAAATTGTGTCTTAAATGTGAACGGGGGGGGGGAGCATTGGAACCAGTGGAGAGAACTCTGGCAGACTGTTGACTTCCTAGAAAACACGACAGGGGGGGGGGGGTACTTAAAAAAACAAGTCGCATCATTTGTGGAACCCATGGCAAAAAAAATCGAATGAGACTGCGCCAAGCATATTCCAAGACAATATTCGACGAGCCGAAGCTAGAGAGTGACATTAGTGACACTGTTATCAGAAATCAATACTGACATCTTATGTTCCACCCTCGACACCACGGTTCTTTAATTACACGTACAGTAGTCCACTCTAGAACCCCCACGCTCATGTTTGATTGTCTTCCAAGTTTGTGCCGTGGACATTACTCTCCAACCGGAGCTAATAACGCGGCATAATTTACCAAAGCCGGCCCTTACCTCCCCTTCTTGTCGGATCGATAATGTCGCACCACAGCCTCCATTGATAGTGTTGCAGACGACCGAGAAGAGGAGCCCGCGATTGGGGTTTGTGTGGGGTAAAAATACTCGTGATCTCAGCGTTATGGATTGATTAGCCTTCTGGACAAGACATACGAATGTGCAGACGTCAGGATTATTGTGGGTATTTATGGGCGAGCCTGACCTGCCTCGTGAAAACGGTTGGTTTTATTCTTACAGCTGACCCGTGCTGAAGATGCTCTTCTGCTCGTCTGTTTACGCGGGGAGAAGTTATTTATAGAACGTGCGATAAATGAACAGATAGTCTCTTATTTATTGAAGCTGAGTACTGGGTGTTTCTCTAGCGCTACTTCTGGCTGCAGTCACGATTGGTGGGGATTTTAGAGCACTTACTACAGTATTATTTACTCATGATAAACCTGATTGCGTACATAATTTTTGTTCTTTGTATCAAAGACATGTTCTAACACAGTTTTTTCTCCACTTCAATCGGGAATCTGAAAATTGTACTTAGACGAAAATATTTTTATAGTTCACTTAGATTTTACTACATTACTAGATCTAATTGTAATAACTATTTTGACTAGTTTATAATAAAATGTATTTAGCTCTTTTCAATGAATACAAGTTAGCTTCCCTATATTCTTCTAATGTATTATTTAGTCTGTTGTCTGGCAAATGCCTTTTTTTTGTACTGACAGTTACATTTTGACAAGTGTGCTGTTTTATTTGTCAGTTTCAGATTGACAAGTGTGCTGTTTTATTTGTCAGTTTCAGATTGACAAGTGTGCTGTTTTATTTGTCAGTTTCAGATTGACAAGTGTGCTGTTTTATTTGTCAGTTTCAGATTGATAAGTGTGCTGTTTTATTTGTCAGTTTCAGATTGATAAGTGTGCTGTTTTATTTGTCAGTTTCAGATTGACAAGTGTGCTGTTTTATTTGTCAGTTTCAGATTGATAAGTGTGCTGTTTTATTTGTCAGTTTAAGATCAACTAATCCCTGAACCACTGACCAGTGTCCAGCATGTCATTAACAGATAATGCAAACACTTGATATGTCTTTACCTGACAGCTCATCAAACATCTGTAAACCCCCTCCCCCTCAAACTTTTGATTTGCACCCCCTCCCCCCCCCCTCAGACTTTTGATTTGCACCCTCCCCCCCTCAAACTTTTGATTTGCAACCTCCCCCCTCAAACTTTTGATTTGCACCCCCCCCCCCACCCTCAAACTTTTGATGATTTGCACCCCCCCTCAAACTTTTGATTTGCACCCCCCGCTCAACCTTTATGTATCTACCGAGGGGTCTATGGGGGGGGGGGGTTCTTACACCCCCTAACCCCCAGCCTGCCTAAGCCACTGATCATTACAAATTGCTAATTGATTGTGATAACATCACATCTCTTTCATTTGGCTCCACATATCAAATAATATTTTCTAAATGGTTATTTATATTGTTTTCTTTCTTTTCTTTTATCCAGATGTAAACCACTCATTGATGATGTAGATAGGTCAACAGAGTAATTAGCTTTAAAAATGGACTCGTTAGTTCATGAGAGCAGCACCAGCTCTCCATTCAATGAAACACCAAACTGCCAGGAGGTGGCTCGCTACGGGAATAAAACTCACATTTTCCTGTATGACAAGTATAATGGCATACCAGATAACCTGATTATCAATGTTGTTGTATTTGTGGTAGGTTTCAAGTTCACTCACTGAATTTTTTTACATTTACAAACTTTAATTGGATTTAGTTGGTTTTAGACTTGGTAATGGAAAAGGTAATATGATGTATAGGTTTAATAAGTACAAAATATAAATATACAGAAACAGAAAATATGTATATGAAGTTTTTGTTTACAGTGCCTTTTGTTCTTATTTACAATACTGAGGAAGATTGCCTGGGATTATGGACGTTTGGCTTTGGTGAACAGGACAGAGGAAAAGTAAGTGATACATCATGGCTGTTGTGGTGTTAAGTGGTGTAACACAGGCTTGATGAGTGTTGTAATATATGGACACTTTTCTATTGTAAATGTTACAAGATGGCTGTTTTGGTCCTATGTATTAAGTGGTGTAACACAGGCTTGATGAGTGTTGTAATATATGGACACTTTTCTATGTTGTAAATGTTACAAGATGGCTGCTTTTGTCACTGCTATGTATTAACTGGTGTTACTTTGACATGTAGGTACGCAGATCTATGTTGTATCCACATATTCATAACAATCCAGTCATCACCAATGATGAATGTTTTTATCAAGTTATTGTGTTACCTATCTGCTAACTAGTCTATGTGACATAGAACTATACAACCTCACTGGAACTATTAGTTTAGTAGACATGTACCATCCAGTTTATCATATCAACAACAAAATTAGCTAAGAATAAATTTATTTTCAAAGCTTGTTTTTATTTTAAAGTGATGGGATGCCCTTGGTATTTCGAAAGCCAAAGGTGTAAGTATTGTTGTCAACAATTTGAGTTGATTGTGTTTCAAGTTTTTCAACAGATACTTTTCTAAAGCAATTATTATAGTGCAACTTTTCCACAGAATTTTTTTATTTTTTTTATTTCAAAGTTTAAATCAGAAATTTAGTTTTGAGGTTTAGGTATTTAAAACTACTAAATATTCTTTAAATTTTCCTACCCCTTTAATTACTATTTGAGTAAATTTACTATGTATGAGAGAACTCTAAAATTAAGAGACCAGTGATGTATTTGATAAATTAATATTTTAAATTATGTTTATTTTGACTTAGAGTTGACATTGAAAATAAACAAGTGTTACTTTTATAGGCTGTTTCTCCTAAGAGTAAAATTTTTGTATAAAATATACAATTTTAGCTTCAAGTTTTTTCTTTTGACCTCTAAGTGTCGTTTGGTAATGTTTTAAATAGAAATAAACATTGGAGAGAAAATGAGCCAACTTGTTTTAATTTATAGTTTACGGAAATGGCGCCGTTGTTTAGGAATTCTAAATATGTAAGTTTTTTTTATATCATGGCTCAGCAAATTACTTTTTGTTAGGGTGTTCAAAGTTTACATTCCTGTGAGATAAAAGCTCACTCCTTAACAACAGTAATTCAGTGAAATTATATTTTAAAATTTGTTGGGCTCTGATAGGTTGTTCCAAGTTTTTGTTACAAATATCACAGCTCACAACTGTGAATCTTTACCTGTTCTTTTTGTTCATGTTTCTCATGTCTTTATTGGTTTGAAATGATGAAGTTGTTTCAAGTTATTTAGAGAGGGTTGCAGCCCTTTGGTTTATATATTCTAATGAAGGTTGTAATGACGGCCTCCTTCTACTGTACAACATTACTTACTTATATGTGTTTGTCTATGTGGTGTTTGTTGAATGTAGTCTGTGAATTTTTGTCTTAAAATAGGGTTTCCTTTAAAGGCACCTTCCTTTAGTTTAAGCTTGCATAGGTTGATTTATCATTGATTTGATGGTCTGTTAATGAAATTTTTGTTTCAAATAAATGTTTCTTTCAGTCAGGGGATTAATGGCAACAAATCCAGCTATAATGTGTAGGTAGAATTTAATAGCAGCATTGAGTGGCTGGGTAGGAAGCTGTGCTTGTTCCCTGTGAGATGGTGCTGACCTCAGCATGCACTAGTGGCATGTGCTGTAGGGATTGGTTCAATGTTTATCTTATGAGACCAGGTGCTCCGCAGTTTTTACAGCTTTAGAGATGACCGGACCCACATTTCATTTGCTAAATGTGTTAGAGGGTTTAATTAGTTCCTAACATTTATGTTGGTCAAATTTAAAAAAAAATATTATTACAAGTTTAAATAAATCTTGTACAAACTATTTAATCCAAACCATGTTTTGCAATTAAAACTTAAAAAATGAGCCCCATCCTGGCAACAGTCTGTAACAAGTGACATCATCTCCAGGGGACAGCACAGCGTAGACAGCTTCAGCAGCTACAGGGGCATTGCATTTCTCTAGCCTCATGGCAATATTTATACACCTAATCATTCAAACCCTCAACCTTTTTCCTAATATGTAACAGCCAGTATATTTCACTTTTAAAAATAATTTCCTAACAACTATTTCCTTTCTGCTTAATTTTTAAAATTGGTTTTGTTTAAAGAACAAACAATAATCTATTAATAGCTCTTAAGGCATACTAAATTATCTATGTAGAATACATAAAACCTAATAGCTTCATCTGTGTAACAGATAAAAACTAAGATTACATTATTTATTTTGATTAACACTGTCTGTGGCAAATGTTTCAAATAACACCAGTGTTTTTCTTAACAAATTTTCTACATAGCCTTCATTTTATCAAATCTTAAAAGCTATTGCAATATACACAAATTCTTAATCACACATTTTATATATATAGTACACTTTGTCATATAATTACTTTCTAAAAATTTACCAAGCATGCTTATACATTATTTTTTTAGCTTTTATTCTTTATATATGCAGTTCTGTTGTATATTAATAACCCATACTATCCAAGTTATTTGTTTAAATTAATTTGAAATGATATATTAAAGGTTTTCATCTTGCCACATGATTTTATGTTAAAACTTTCTTATTAAAAGCTTTTATGGTAATTCAAGCTTTCAAGTATTGTGTTTAAGGGTCCTTTCTCTAAGGTATTTTATAACATGTCCACTCAGCTTCTTCACTCAAATTGAAATTTTTTATCTCATATTATTTAAAAATGTATGATGTATTTGACCATTCTTAATACCGACAAAATATTTCCTAATATACCCTATAATATTTGAAACATTGTTTTTAGATCGTGCCTTTTTTTTTGCATCTAAACTATTTTCAGTTCCAGTGTTTCTGATATTGTAGAAGTAGCAGTCATGTGAAGAGTGCCACACTAACAAAATTTGCCATTTTTGTTTCCCTTGTTTGTCAAATCTGTCTTTGTAGTTATTAGATCTTAACATTATAATAACTCTTCGTCCTCATTTTCAAAATGATCAGAAATTTTTCTCATAACCCTGAAAATAATAAGTTTGAAACAAATGTTAAATAACCAAGAAATTATGGTCAAATGTCTTAATTTATTTAATGTTTTTAAACCCCTTTTAAAAAAAAAAAGTCATATCAATATACATTTTATTTTTATCTTCTCATATTTACTTTGTCGTATATACGTAGTATAGAGAAAGTATTTTAATCGTGCAAAAAAAAACAATCGAGATTTTTACAAATCTCGACGTTTTACACCTCACTGATACGGAAAAACATAATTTTGCAATCTTGTCCGTATGTCTGTGTGTGTGTCTGTGTGTGTGTGTGTGTAAACACGATTACTTGAGTACCGTTACAGCTAGGTTGATGAAATTTCATATATAAGTATTTTATCAAAATCGTAGATCCGTATCAACTTTTGAGCGATTTCCGATAACCGGAAGTGGTACTTTTTCTCCTTTGAATTTTTCAAAAGCCTATAACTTGAGTACTATTTCAGATAGATAAATGAAATTTCACATGTAAGTAAAAGATCTAATTCTCTACCTTCTGTTAAATTTTGTATACTTTCCGTTGACGGGAAGTACTAATTTACGCTATTTCCGATTTCTCAAAAACGCATCTAAATTTATAAAGTACTAATAATATTGCGCACCATTATGAACATCTTTATTCGGCGTTCGCTTGGTGTGCAATACTTTTTTCTATGAGATTCTATTTTATTTTAAAAAGTTTATGTATTTAAAATGGATTAAAAATCATAACTATATCCCGAGTTCCCATCCCCTGTTGTTTTATATAAGAATATTCGAGAAAGTTTAGGGGAGATCACTCCCGGTTTATTTTATTCTATTATGAATTTATTGAATAAAAAGATTGATAAGCTTGTCAAATCAGTGATATTTTAAAATTTAAATTGTAAAAAAATTTACTTAATTATAACATATATATTTTGTTTTATATTTTAAATTGTTTTTCATAACAGGTGAAAAGTAATCAATTGTTTACTAAATAATTTAAGCATTTAATTTATTTAGATCCTTATTTAATCTGTTATTTTTTCTATTAAGTTAAAACAGATTAAACAGGTTAAGTTGTATGTTGACGTGTATGTTTAATTCTGTACCATTCCCCCTAGATGGACATCATTATTTTTTGGTGACCGAGACCGGAGGTCAATGCATGGCTCTCAGGAATCCCTGGACACAGCAGTGACCTCACAAGACAAGGTGAGTGTGTCACCACTTAGACTTTTGGCCACCTACCTGTTGCCTATCTAATTTATGTGGAAACCACATTTTTTTAAGTGGGGGGGGGGTCTTTAAATAAATTGTTTGAAAAAAACTCTTATTTTAAATTGTTTCAGGGTGTATTCCGTTGGATAATTGCATTTTGGAGACTGAGGTGAGTAGATTTAAATATGAAGTAGACCTTTACTAACTTCTAAACAAACTTCTTCAGTAGATATATATGCTTTGCCTTAGCTAAAAACAAGTAATATAGATAGCAAATTTGCCATGAAAATACCAGAATCTCTGTGTTTAAACTTGTGGGTATATTTTGTTTGTCAGAGACGTGGACATCCTGAACAAGTGTGGTAAAGATGCCATCCAGTACTTGTCTTTTCAGCGCTACCTGCTGGTCTATATCACCATAGTTACAGTTTTGTCTGTGGGAGTTATCCTCCCAATCAACTTTCAGGGATCACTGTGTAAGTCTCAAGTTGGTTTTTATTCTTTTGGGCATTGTCTCATTTTTTCAAGATTATTATTTGCTTTGGACTGGTTTTATCAAGATTATTGTTATTTGGTTTAAAAAATGAATACTAATTTTCTACTGCAGTTTCAGATATTTGTTTAAGATGATGAAACTGCTGTTTTACACATTAAATAATTGGTTGAAATATTTAAACATATTTTGTTAGAATTAAATACTTATTTTAGAAAGTTGAAATAAAATAATTTTAAGCTTGTTATCTATGAGTTGAAACTTTGATTACACCATTATATCTCATAGTAATTATCAACAAAATTGACATCCCCATAACACTTGTAAATATTTTTTTAATATTATTTGTTCTTAGTGGGAACAGCTGCTGATTTTGGACACACAACAATTGGTAATTTAGAATCAAAGTAAGTTTAGTGTTGATGTTTAATAACCTTAGTGTTTGAAGAATCTGTTGTTAGCAGATGGAAAAACTCTGTTTGTCATAAACCTTGTGTGTTACAGTGATCCAATTGTGTGGGTCCACACTGTCATGTTAGATTAAGTGCCATAAACCTTGTGTGTTACAGTGATCCAATCCTGTGGGTCCACACTGTCATGTTAGATTAAGTGCCATAAACCTTGTGTGTTACAGTGATCCAATCCTGTGGGTCCACACTGTCATGTTAGATTAGTTGCCATAAACCTTGTGTGCTACAGTGATCCAATCCTGTGGGTCCACACTGTCATGTTAGATTAAGTGCCATAAACCTTGTGTGTTACAGTGATCCAATTGTGTGGGTCCACGCTGTCATGTTAGATTAAGTGCCATAAACCTTGTGTGTTACAGTGATCCAATCCTGTGGGTCAACACTGTCATGTTAGATTAAGTGCCATAAACCTTGTGTGTTACAGTGATCCAATCCTGTGGGTCATGTTAGATTAAGTGCCATAAACCTTGTGTGTTACAGTGATCCAATTGTGTGGGTCCACACTGTCATGTTAGATTAAGTGCCCTAAACCTTGTGTGTTACAGTGATCCAATCCTATGGGTCCACACTGTCATGTTAGATTAAGTGCCATAAACCTTGTGTGTTACAGTGATCCAATCCTATGGGTCCACACTGTCATGTTAGATTAAGTGCCATAAACCTTGTGTGTTACAGTGATCCAATCCTGTGCGTCCACACTGTCATGTTAGATTAATTGCCATAAACCTTGTGTGTTACAGTGATCCAATCCTGTGCGTCCACACTGTCATGTTAGATTAATTGCCATAAACCTTGTGTGTTACAGTGATCCAATCCTGTGGGTCCACGCTGTCATGGCTGTTGTTTATCTTGTCATCGTCATCGCTGTCCTCAGTCACTTCCGTCTGAACCTGGATGTTGAGGAGGACGAGCAGGTAGGGTTTGTCATTCACATTGTATAGATTGTAGCCACACATACATTTGTACTGATTGTAGCCGCACATACATTTGTACTGATTGTAGCCACACATACATTTGTACTGATTGTAGCCACACATACATTTGTACTGATTGTAGCCGCACATACATTTGTACTGATTGTAGCCACACATACATTTGTACTGATTGTAGCCACACATACATTTGTACTGATTGTAGCCGCACATACATTTGTACTGATTGTAGCCACACATACATTTGTACTGATTGTAGCCGCACATACATTTGTACTGATTGTAGCCACACATACATTTGTACTGATTGTAGCCACACATACATTTGTACTGATTGTAGCCACACATACATTTGTACTGATGATTGTAGCCACACATACATTTGTACTGATTGTAGCCACACATACATTTGTACTGATTGTAGCCACACATACATTTGTACTGATTGTAGCCACACATACATTTGTACTGATGATTGTAGCCACACATACATTTGTACTGATTGTAGCCACACATACATTTGTACTGATTGTAGCCACACATACATTTGTACTGATTGTAGCCACACATACATTTGTACTGATGATTTTAGCCACACATACATTTGTACTGATTGTAGCCACACATACATTTGTACTGATTGTAGCCACACATACATTTGTACTGATTGTAGCCACACATACATTTGTACTGATGATTGTAGCCACACATACATTTGTACTGATTGTAGCCGCACATACATTTGTACTGATTGTAGCCGCACATACATTTGTACTGATTGTAGCCACACATACATTTGTACTGATTGTAGCCACACATACATTTGTACTGATTGTAGCTGCACATACATTTGTACTGATTGTAGCCGCACATACATTTGTAATGATTGTAGCCACACATACATTTGTACTGATTGTAGCCGCACATACATTTGTACTGATTGTAGCCGCACATACATTTGTACTGATTGTAGCCACACATACATTTGTACTGATGATTGTAGCCACACATACATTTGTACTGATTGTAGCCACACATACATTTGTACTGATTGTAGCCACACATACATTTGTACTGATTGTAGCCACACATACATTTGTACTGATTGTAGCCACACATACATTTGTACTGATTGTAGCCACACATACATTTGTACTGATTGTAGCTGCACATACATTTGTACTGATTGTAGCCACACATACATTTGTACTGATGATTGTAGCCACACATACATTTGTACTGATTGTAGCCACACATACATTTGTACTGATGATTGTAGCCACACATACATTTGTACTGATGATTGTAGCCGCACATACATTTGTACTGATTGTAGCTGCACATACATTTGTACTGATTGTAGCTGCAGACACCATAATTTTCATTTCAACTAAACCCTCAAGGCGAGTTATTTCTAGTAAGGGGTGCTCAATTGATGACGTCACTTACCTTAAGGGTATGGAAGAGGTTAAGTTAAGTTCAATGATTTAAGACTGAGGTCATTTGGTTATCATCTCCCAGGTGAGCAGGACACTGATGATATCCAACTTGCCCAAACACAAGTGTTTTCACAGCGTCATGTTGCAACACTTTCAGTGAGTGGACCAGCTTTTTTTTCTATCTCAACCATCATGTTATAGCACTTCCATTGTGTCACTTTGTTTGGTTTGGTAGTTATTCTCCCCTCAGCCATACTTGTTGCATTCATTCAGTGCAGCCAATCTTAATCTCTATTTAACATGAACCGTGACTAACCTTCCCTAAACCTTTTATTAATACCACCCCTCCCCCCAACTCTTCCATGGCATTGACTCTATCCCTTTTCTCACCTGTACCAGAGAAGCCTACCCAGAGTCTACAGTGACTGACATCCAGTTTGCTTATGACATCGCTGGCCTGGTTTTACTGGACAAACACAGGTAACAGCTTCAATCTTTGACTAATCAATCTTACTTAGTTTAGATACAACTTACCAGCTTACTTTTTTAATCTTACAGTTTTGTTTTTTATACAACCTAATTTTTAAAATTATAGTTCAAGGAGGTTAAAATAAATTTTTGTTACTGCCCCTCCTCTGCCCTCTCCCCATCATGCCATCAGACGCAGTGCTGCTGAGGCCCGGCTGTTTTGTGAAATGGACTATAAAAAGACTGGCCAGCGTCCAGTGATGAGACCAGTGGTCTGTGGCCAGATCTGCTGCTGTTGTGCTCAGGTGGGTCTTTGGTTTACTGTAGCACCTGGCTTGTCCTACCCTAGCTGCCCTCAGTTTACCCATATGTAGGACATGGGGTATGTAAGAAATAGTAGTCCTTGTATGGCCCTGTGAATAGTGTGACTAAACCAGTGATTTCTTGTATTAAGGTGGATGCCATGAACTTTTACCAAGATGAAGAAGCTGAGCTGAAGAAGGCTTGTGAGGAAGAGAAGGTCACAGCGTACCAGACCCCACTGGGAATTTCTTTCATCACTTTAGCCTCTGAATCTCAGGCCCAGAGGTATAGACAGGCTGATCTTTCTAGCTCTCATTCAAGTCTTTTAGTGAAATATTTCCCCACATGTGGCCATATGCTGCTTGATTTAAAATACTCCATGTCCCAGCATGCAATGTGGCCAAATGTCTGCTTTGTGTCCCCCAGGATCAGAACAGATTTCCGTGCCAGCTGTAAGGGAACCCACAACCCCCAGATGTCTAGCTTGTACCAGGAGCTCCAGGTGCAGAACTGGATCATGCATTTTGCTCCATCACCTGAGAACATTTACTGGTAGGTTCATACTGCACCATCACACCACAGTTACACACCACAGCTACACAAAGCATCACAACACAGCATCACACCACACTACACAAAGCATCACAACACAGCATCACACCACAGCTACACAAAGCATCACAACACAGCATCACAACACAGCTACACACCACAGGTACACACCACAGCTACACACCACAGCTACACAAAGCATCACAACACAGCATCACACCACAGCTACACACCACAATTACAGCTTCACTCCACCAATGTTTCTGTATGATTAGTACCTGACAAACATTGGTTGCCATGTTTTTGTCTTTAAGGGAGAATTTGTCAGTACCAGACTGGCGCTGGTGGACAGTGGCTATCTGCACAAATGGTTTCCTGGTGGTACTCCTGTTTTTCCTGACCACACCCATCATGTTCCTGCACACCCTGGACATGCTGAACATTGACATAACAAAACCTGTGGAAAACTTACATGTGTGTACTTTATTGACCTACATTTGTGTACTAGAGTTTTATTTATTTACCTACATGTGTGTACTAGAGTTTTATTTATTTACCTACATGTGTGTACTTTATTGACCTACATGTGTGTACTAGAGTTTTATTTATTTACCTACATGTGTGTACCAGTTTAATTTATTTACTTACATGTGTGTACTAGAGTTTGATTTATTTACCTACATGAATGTCCACTACATGTTTCTATGTTCAAGTATATGTTTTTTCTAGATCTTTCTTTCTTTGTTTATATATTTTGTAATAGGTCTTTTTGTTACATGGTTACTTTCCAGCCTTTGTTTTTTTTACATATCAATGTTTGTTTCTAAGAGATGCACTTAAATGAACTCACACTGCCGCTGTATGTAAGACACACCTACTATTTACTGCTTTTTGATCTGGGTCCACAGAGTGCTTACCTGGTCCAGTTTTTACCTACACTTCTGCTGTGGCTTTTCTCAGCTCTGCTGCCAAACATAGTCTACTGGTCAGACCAGATCATTGGACATTGGACCAGGTGGGTTGACCAACACACTGCCGTGTCCAGCACATCTTCAACAGCTTCACTTACCCTAAAGTCTTAGAACAACAAGGGTGTTGTTTCTTTCATTAGATATCTGCTTCATGCATCATGAAAACATTGTTTAGTTAGATATTTGCTTCAAGCCACTAAACAAACAACTAGTCAAAACAATTGTTTCATTAGACATTTGCTTCCTGCAATTAAACAAAAAAAAAACATGGGGGAGAAATGCATATTTTCTTCTGGACTATTAGCATTTTTATTCCCAATTTTGTCAGAATGTTTACAGCCCACTTCTATCATATATATCTATGAGACAGAATCCTAATTAGTGCTCTCATACATAATTGTTGTATTCACTTTGTGGATGCTAAGTGTGGCAATAGTAACAAACATCTTTCTTGTTGAAACCTAGGACTGCTGAGCACCATGCCATTATGAGGAAAACATTTATATTTCTTCTCTTCATGATTCTTATTCTACCGTCTCTTGGACTAACCAGGTAATTACTATGTATTGCTGCAATCACATCACACTATTACAATGTGTTGTTTCCATCATTAGGACCTAAAAGTACATAACACATAGTTTTATGTATCTCTCTTATTCTGGACTACAAACATGACCATTATTTCAAAGTCAGCTACTTAAATCATATTTATATGAAAAATATTCATTTTTTGTTAACTGATCTACTTTCATAAACACTGAATCTTTGATGTCCTTAAATAAGTAAACTACAGCAAAATTTATATCATGTAAAATATTTTGAAATTATATTTTCAATGGAAATTTTTTTTTTTTCATTTAACAGCGCTAAAGCACTTTTTGAGTGGATCGTAATAGGCCGTGAACGTAAACTCCAGTGGCAGTAAGTAGCTTATAAATAAGTGACGAATAAATAACTGTCTAGCTTAAAAATAAATAACTTAATATTTGACACAATGACTAACATAGAAGTGACAAATAAATAACTGTCTAGCTTAAAAATAAATTATTTGACACAATGACAAACATAGAAGTGACAAATAAATAACTGTCTCGCTTAAAAATAAATAACTTAATATTTGACACAATGACAAACATAGAAGTGACAAATAAATAACTGTCTAGCTTAAAAATAAATAACTTAATATTTGACACAATGACAAACATAGAAGTGACAAATAAATAACTGTCTAGCTTAAAAATAAATAACTTAATATTTGACACAATGACTAACAGAAGTGAGTAATCTAATCGGTGTAAATAATTTAGTTTATGTTGTTCTAAGTTTGTAAAGCTTTGCTTCACTTCTTTGTGTCATTCATAGGTGTATCTTTTTACCTGGCAATGGATCTTTCTTTGTGAATTACATCATCACATCGGCATTTATTGGAACATCCCTAGAGCTACTGCGCTTCTCTGAACTCTTTGTGTATGGGGTGAAACTGTTGTTTGCAAGGTCCCAGGCAGAGCGTGCTGCTGTAAGAAAGGTCAGTGTTTTCAAGCAAGTCTCATCCCTGCACAAACATTTTTTTCAGTGAGATGGCCACAACCTGCAGACTTAAGCCTTGAACTAACCTGAGTACCCATAACAGCTGGGTGGACTCAGGGACATCCTACAGACTTAAGCCTTGAACTAACCTGAGTACCCATAACAGCTGGGTGGACTCAGGGACATCCTACAGACTTAAGCCTTGAACTAACCTGAGTACCCATAACAGCTGGGTGGACTCAGGGACATCTTACAGCCCTAAGCCAGACTTTCTGGCTAGCAGTGGGTCCAGCCATTTGCTGATAAAGTTAACTACATCTATTTTTTATTGACACCTAAATGTGTAAATATTATTCACATAACCAGCTGTAGTATGTACATTAGATATATTTACATAGAGAGCGTAAATGTTCCTTGTCTCTACTCCTCAATGAATTTTTCTTCCAGTCAGCCCTGTGGGACTTCCAGTACGGTATCCAGTATGCTTGGATGCTATGTATGCTAGCTATCATTGTCAGCTACAGCATTCCTTGCCCATTGGTCACTCCATTTGGTAAGCTTTCATATTCTTTAAAAAACTTAAAATGCTAAAAATGAAGAACTCATTCTAGAATGGTAAAATGACATTACAATTATAATTAGGACCCTTGATAAATATTACAGCTCTTCTTCTTCATTCTTAATTTAGAGTTGGAAGGGATTTTTCAACACAATTAAGTATACGTGTCAACTGGTTATGCGCCATTGAGTTTGAGCTGTTGACTTCAATTTCAGCCTGCTTTTCTTATTGGATTTGCTTCCATAGCCTTTGTCCAACCAAGAACAAACTACAAGGCAGCAGTTGTTTGATTTTGGAGTTGTCGCTCCTAGAAAATGGCTGTCCCTAGCTATTGAGTCTAATCTGCCAGAGAGTTTGAACTACAGACTTTTCGGTTAAGCAACAATGTGCTTTACCAACTCGACCACGCAGACCCCTATATTACAGCTGTTTACTAAGAATTAGAAGTCATTGAAATGCCTTACACTGCACTGACGGCCCAATTGAAATCCACAGGTTTAATCTACCTGTTGTTCAAGCATGTGGTAGACCGCTATAACATTTTCTTTGCCTACAACTCCACAGGTTTGATCTACTTCAAGCATGTGGTAGACCGCTATAACCTTTTCTTTGCCTACAACTCCACAGGTTTGATCTACTTCAAACATGTGGTAGACCACTATAACCTTTTCTTTGCCTACAACTCCACAGGTTTGATCTACTTCAAGCATGTGGTAGACCGCTATAACATTTTCTTTGCCTACAACTCCACAGGTTTGATCTACTTCAAGCATGTGGTAGACTGCTATAACCTTTTCTTTGCCTACAACTCCACAGGTTTGATCTACCTGTTGTTCAAGCATGTGGTAGACCACTATAACCTTTTCTTTGCCTACAACTCCACAGGTTTGATCTACCTGTTGTTCAAGCATGTGGTAGACCGCTATAACATTTTCTTTGCCTACAACTCCTCACGTATTGACAAGCACATCCACGGCTCCGCTGTGACATTTGTCTTGTGGGCCGTCATACTTCTCCAAGTCAATGTTGTCTTCTTCACTGGCCTGAGAGCAGGTAACTCGCACATCTTTGGTTGGTCTTTTTCTTTTTTAGAGGCAGTTTGATGAAAATTCAAATTTAGTACTTATTTTATTTTTATACGCAATGGCTAGAAAATAAAAGTGTGATTTGTTGAATCCACAGAAGGATTTGATCCAGTGTTCATCTTCTCTGCTGTTGCTTTGTTCATCACGTTGATTATATTTGTTGGCCGTGTCAGTTTTGGTTGGTTCAAATATCTGAGACCAGCTAGATACAGGGTAAGTCACTCTCATCAGTTTTATACTTACAATTATGGAAATCTGTTGCTTCAATATCAACTAGGCTACAATTTTGTAAAGTCCTTGTTAACCAATTTTTGCCTTACTTGACAGAATTTTGAAGAGAGTGAGCCAGATACAACTACACCTGACGACTCTTCTGACACAAGCATTTCAAAAGTAATTTGTTTTATTTGCATAGCATCAACTTTTGCTAGTTAATTTGACAAAATCAGCTTCGTTAAAACAACTTTAAAGTTAAGTTATAAAAAAGGCAGCCAAAGTAACCAAAAAATTTTGAACACCAACAACAGAGTAAGAGCTTTGTGCATTTTGAATCTAAACTTTGCCAAGTCCTCAGTTTTTTCATGCAAACAACATCTTTTATTTCAGCCATTTGTCGCTGGAGTGCTGACTCAGGATTTATCTATTGACCACGAGTCCAACAGTCGCGGTGGTGGCTATGGTGCTATTGAAAACACTGGTGCTGATGACTTCTCCACTGTTCTATCTTCTACCAGACCCACACTTTCCTAAGCTGTTCTATCTTCTACCCACACTTTCCTAAGCTGTTCTATCTTCTACCCACACTTTCCTAAGCTGTTCTATCTTCTACCAGACCCACACTTTCCTAAGCTATTCTATCTTCTACACACACTTTCCTAAGCTATCTTCTACCAGACCCACACTTTCCTAAGCTGTTCTATCTTCTACCCACACTTTCCTAAGCTGTTCTATCTTCTACCAGACCCACACTTTCCTAAGCTATCTTCTACCAGACCCACACTTTCCTAAGCTGTTCTATCTTCTACCCACACTTTCCTAAGCTGTTCTATCTTCTACCAAGTCTCTACTTCCTAAATCTCTTTATTTTAATAACTCCCACGTTCAGCCGTTGTTAAAATATTTTTGTCATTGCCTTTTCATTTCGCCTGCACTGTATTTATTCGTTATCAAAACATTTTTATCTCAACTTTTTCTTTCACTATTTTTAAAAAAAATTGGTATTATTTTTTTTCTCCAATGTGATATTATAATTACTGCTAAAAATTAAAATTTTTGTTACAAACTTCCTTCTCTAGTCAGCTGTGGTAAAGTGGATCTTTTATTTCGTCAAACTTATCACTCCAGTGATACTTTTTATTTTTTAACTATCCTTGTTCAAATAAAACAAAGGAATATTGATGATCTAAAGTAAAGTTATTATTATAACTTAATCTTAACTTATGAATCAAATCAGAAACATTTTTGTTAAAGATTTTCATTGTCCTTGTGAAAAAAAAATGATTGTCTATAGTAGCAAGAGTATAAAAACCATTATTTTTTGCCTATTGATGAGGAATGTGGGAGGAATTATATAATTCATACTTAACTAGTACATTAAATAATGGTTGTTTTTTTTTCTTTATTTTTTGTGTGTGTAATTAAACAATATGTTAATCTGGAATGAGCCTATTACTTACTGTGTACAGATTGACATACCTATGTTGATGCTTTCTCAAGCCTTCATTTGATGGGTGATTTGTTGTCTATACTTTATGTTGAGATTCAAACTTTATAAAGTATTTTCCTAGGAATTTATCTCTGAATTTTCTAATGTTTGATGGCAGTATACGCAAGACAGTTTTAGACTTGGCTTGATGAAGTGTAGGATTTAGTTTTGGTTCACTTCTGCTAGGTTTGAAAAGACAACAGTAGACTTGTTGGTGTTGTGGTGTAGTGTAGGTTTTACTTCTGGTTACCTTCTGCTAGATTTGAACTGGTTTAAGAACAGAACCACAGCAGGAATATTTTAGCAGTTTATTCATGACAATAGAACCCAATTATTTTAAGCTTAACAAATAATTACTGTAAAAATTATTTTTTCCATCTTCTCACATTGTCAGTGGCAAACATTTTTTAAAGCGATTACAGCTTGAATTATACATAGCAAACATTGTTTTGTTTGGCTTAAGTTAAATATTGTGACAGTGATGTAACATGGCTTGTCTCCCTTTGTGCAGGACACTGGTGTTGTTGAAACAAAAAATGACCCCAGGTTTTCTGAAAAAATTCCAAATACATGTCCGACGTATTACATTTTTTACTGAACAGTTGACTTGTACTTGTAGTAAACATTTGTTTGATATTTTATTAATGGTGAATTAGAATCTTAATTTGCATAATTTAATTTATATCGACTGATTTACTTAGTGTTTGTTAAATGTTTTTAAGTAATACATGTTGGCTGTCCAGGGGTGTCTACAGTGAAAATAATAGATCAACTCTAGATCCAGATTAGTAGCTGGTCACAGCTAACTGACTAGATCTAGACTCTAGATCTAGCTGGAGCTTTTCAAAGTCTAGTTGTTACTAGTTGGTGCTTCTGTGTCCTGTTTTTACACTGCCCCAATTAGTTATTTTTTCTACAGTGCTTATTTATATACTGTGTAGCTTACATGTTACTGCCTAATTTTTTGTTAAAACAAGAATCATACTAGAAAGATAGATCTAGTTAAATCTATTATAATTATATTCGTTGATTTGATCAAAATGACATTTTTGTTGTATTTGTATTTAAGAGTAATGTCCCTTTGGCTGTTGTTGGTGATGTACTAAATAAAGTGATTACTTAATACGCAGTTTGGTTTTTTACTGCGTGTATGTGACTGGGAGTGGCTGATTCGTTGTGTGTGGATACAGAAGGTTCTGTTTGATTGACTCAGTAAAGAATCAACGTTTCAGGGTACAATCTGATGCAACTATTTTAATAAGAGATACATAAAAAATAATAGCCAATAATAACTGAAATATTTTGAAAGTGGAGCGTTTAGTGAAAATATGCAGTCTTTTGTCGCCTGCTTCTTGAACCTGCTCCCCACGTATCACAAATGACATGTAATTTAAAAACGTTTACCACTCGCCGCATATTCACGACAAAACGCCATTTAAAACTAGGCTCTAATTGTCCGTTAACAAGGGGATGTAGTTTTTAGCTTCTAAATTATCGCCCTTGCTTGTAGCCATCAGAGTTATCTGATCTTTTAACAATCGTATCACGTGAAGGGCGTCTTGACGAGGGGTTAATTACACGTGCAGGGCACGTGCTGTGGTCATCATTTGCCCGTGGTTGGCCATCATTAGCTTGCCGTTGGGAATGATTTGATGGTATTGGCCATCTATTTTCCCTTCTCCAATGGTCTTTCTTACCGCGACAGAATACTGTGTTCTACAGCCGTGTTAACACACACAGACAATTCTACACCTGTGTTGACTGTTGACACACACTAAGACAATTCTACAGTCATGTTTACACACAACACAAAGACGATCCCAGGAAATTAAAAAAAACATTATTCACCAAGGCAATCCAAGTGTACTAGATCTAAACTCACCCCATACCCACCCCCTTTACAGCCCACTGACGATTATTTTTAATATTTTTTTTTTTTTTGCTTACCGTTCGATCAGGCGCTGGCTATCAACGATGAATATAAAATTTGATGCCATTAAATTAATGTTAAGTTGACTTTTATCCGACTGATGTAATTGCGGGTATCGATTCCTGCGATATCGACCAGCTCGATATCCGGTAGCAACCACTTCCATTTACTGGCCCTGGAATCGGGGGATAATTTGCTTGTTTTCTTTCTTTGGAATCACTCCTTCAGCTTGTACTTCAATGGGCAGGTCTCAGGTCACGCCCAGGTAAAGTGTGTGTGTGTGTGTATGTATAGGTGTGTGTGTATGTATGGGTGTGTATGTGTGTGTGTGTGTATAATTGTGCGTATGCATGTATAGATGTGTGTCTGTGTGCTACAAAACTTCGGAGAGACACAGTAAAAGCCAAATAATAAGATGCCAAACGGCCCAGACAACGTTTCTCACCAGACAATATAACACATAAGAGAAAGTAACACATTAGATAAATGACACACTTCGATCATTTCTCTTATCCACCCAGTCTTGATGAGTCAAATCTCAATCAACTTATTTCACCCTGATGCAGTTAAATATCCGTTAACCTATCCCACATTATATATTCTATGTCCTAACTTTAAAACTCGTTCAAATCTCCATTAAAGTCACATTCACCATATAAATCTCTGTTAAAGTCACATTCACCCCATACTACAATCATATTTGTTAGCAGACCCGTATCGACCCCCATCTACCACCCTATAAACCCCCAACCCAACCATTTATCCGCACCATGTACCGACCCCCCCCCCCTCAAACAGGAATCAATAGCTTTTTTAACAAGTTGTTTTTAAATGGACGGAAACTGAGAAATCATTAACTATAATACCAAAAGCGGTGGTCGTTCAACAAAATTTAGCAATACGTTTTATGGCATATGTATTGGGCACAAGGTTGGTTCTAAATCTTTGAATCTCAGAACACATTGATATCCTGGGGAGCGCCAACTTGATAGAGCGACAATATTGCAGGCAAGGGCAAATAATTATCAAAATAAACCGCATGCCTGCTGTTATCCCCCATGATTACTTGAATGATTAAAAGCTCATTTATCATGATCAAATCATTCATCGATTTCTGCGGACGGCAGTTCCCCGCCTTTTACCGCTGTACATACAAATGATAATGGCAGAATTCGGCCAGATGTAAAACGTCACTTGGGCCGTTATTTGCTTTATGTATTTGGATCACTGCTCCTGTGTACGCAGTGATGTCACACACTGAAACGTCATCAAACGAGACAGTGCAATTACCGATCAGGATTACTAGGGGAGGGGTGGGTGGGGTTGGGTACCTAAAGTTAGTTGGACCGCCCAGCAGAATATTTTGTTGTATCAATGATATTGGTACTATATGATGTGGTATCAATGACAGTGGTACAGTTGTGTGTGGTATACTGACAGTTGTACTGTATGATATGGTATCCTCATAGTGGTACTGTTGTGTGTGGTATACTGACAGTTGTACTGTATGATATGGTATTCTCATAGTGGTACTGTTGTGTGTGGTATACTGACAGTTGTACTGTATGATATGGTATCCTGATATTGGTACAGTTGTGTGTGGTATACTGACAGTGGTACAGTTGTGTGTGGTATCTTGATAGCGGTACTGGTATCAATGATAGAGATACTGTTTTTATGAACCGGTGAACAGAACAGGCTGGGAGAAAGGACGGGAGATTGCACGATTTACGAGGCCATAGTCACGGTTGCCATTTTTTTAATAAATGGAGGTCACTGTTGAAACTTTATTGTAAAGGGAGGTAACTATTAAAAACTTTTTTGTCTGCATGAATAATATTTTAAGTTGATTGTACATCCCAACAGCAGTACATAGGTCTATGTGATGAATGTAAATATGGCGTTGGGGTGGGACATAATGTTGGATGCCGTTAGTTGAGCATACATGTTGTGGCTGTATAGGCCTTTATAAGAATGGGCCACACTGTGTTTCAGTATTTGGCCAATTTGGTGGTGGCCCACTACACTGACTGACGCATTTTAAATGGATAAACCTATAGGTTGTTCCACTACACTTTACTGACGCACTTTTTGATAAACCTATAGGTTGTCCCACTACACATGGAGTCCTCTCCTGCTCTACATCTGTTTGTGTGTAGCGCCAGTGATTGCTCTACCAGTTTTTATACCTGGCCAGATTTTTCTCAGGTATGATAGCCAACCTGTCATATCAACAATAAAACACCAAACAAATTGATTTTATCAAGCCGAGTTTTACCACGGATGCCAGTAAACAGCCAATCAGATGAAGGCAATTAACTGGACACAAGACAAACTACACACCAGACGGGGGGGGGGTACATCAGGTCCAGTGATCAGGACCATTACCTCAATCTAGTGATATTTTCTTACCATTAACCCCTTATAAAGCATCTTTTAGGTCCCTCTCCACCCCCTACTCCCCCAGAAGCTTGTGGGCAGGAAAAATAGACTGCCAGCGCCCTCTGTGGCGCCTTTTAATTAACCCATCCCTGGGAAATTTTTAACGCCCTCTCAAACTGATAAAGAGATTTTTAATCTGTCGACATATGCTGGCGGACCGGACAACAATTATTGACATTTTCCGTTCGCTACCATGGTCATCTGTTCGCTACAATGGTAATCTGTTAGCTACCATGGTAATCTGTTCGCTACCATGGTAATATGTTCGTTACCATGGTAATCTGTTAGCTACCATGGTAATCTGTTCGCTACCATGGTAATATGTTCGTTACCATGGTAATCTGTTCGCTACCATGGTAATCTGTTCGCTACCATGGTAATCTTTTCGTTACCATGGTAATCTGTTCGCTACCATGGTAATCTGTTCGTTACCATGGTAATCTGTAGTGTTCGCTACCATGGTAATCTGTTCGTTACCATGGTAATCTGTAGTGTTCGCTACCATGGTAATCTGCAGTGTTTGCTACCATGATAATCTGCAGTATTCGCTACCACGGTAATCTGCAGTATTCGCTACCACGGTAATCTGCAGTATTCGCTACCACGGTAATCTGCAGTATTCGCTACCATGGTAATCTGCAGTATTCGCTACCATGGTAATCTGTAGTATTCGCTACCACGGTAATCTGTAGTATTCGCTACCATGGTAATCTGCAGTATTCGCTACCATGGTAATCTGCTCGCTACCATGGTGATCTGTTCGCTACCATGGTAATCTGCAGTATTCGCTACCATGGTAATCTGCAGTATTCGCTACCATGGTAATCTGTTCGCTACCATGGTAATCTGCAGTATTCGCTACCATTGTAATCTGCAGTATTCGCTACCATGGTAATCTGCAGTATTCGCTACCATGATAATCTGCAGTATTCGCTACCATGATAATCTGCAGTATTCGCTACCATGGTAATCTGTTCGCTACCATGGTAATCTGTAGTATTCGCTACCATGGTAATCTGTAGTATTCGCTACCATGGTAATCTGCAGTATTCGCTACCATGGTAATCTGCAGTATTCGCTACCATGGTAATCTGCAGTATTCGCTACCATGGTAATCTGCAGTATTCGCTACCATGGTAATCTGCGCTGTCGAGCTTTCTTCCGGCAGGAGTTAAAGGGGAGAGAATCCGCTAAGTGTTACTCAGAAAACTCTAATGAGAAAACGACGGCTAGAGATGGAAGGCAATCGATGGACGAGGAATTACTTTTTGGGGGAACTTTTGCAGTACAACAATAAGCTGCACAATACAACATTACATTAGCTGCAGATTACATTTTAAAACTGCACAATACAACAATATATTAACGATATAACACAACATTAAGTGTACAATACATCACAATTGCTCAATGCTTATGTATATTAATTAAACAATACAATATTACATTACCTACACAACATTAGGTTTAAAGCACAATATTGTATTACATTGATAGCATAATATATCATCACTTTACCTGCACAATATATTACCAATTATAAAGCACAATAAAATACTTAATACAACATTACGCCAACAGCAGAATACATTTCACCGACAGCACAATACAACATGACATTAACAGCACAATACAACATTTAATCAACAGCAGTATACAACATTACATCAACATCACAATACAAGATTACATCAACAGCACGTCACAACACGAACTGCTGATTAAAATTTACGACACAATAATGTTATAGAAC